GTGTCCAAGGTACCGCCCGATAATTTCGGAGGGGTCGGTACAGGCTGCCGGGACACGCGAGAAGAAACGGCCCAACGGCTAAGCGGGGGTTGAAGAACGTTGCGGGGGCAGATTAAAAGCCGGTGGAATCGATCTGCGGCCCTACTTCGCCCGAACCTCACCATCCCCACCAAGTCCTGGTTCTGACTCATGCAGTCAACCTACTTGGCCGAATAACGGGGGTGAACACGTGGCCTACCCTGCGCTGGTTAAAGGTACCGGGATTGGTGCCCGTTCAACAGCTGTACAGAAAAAATACAAAAAGAAAAAGTGGAGCTCGCGGCACTGTTCTACTCCGACAAAAGCGGGCTGGGTGAACGGCACGCGAAAAAGTCGGGGAGCTGCGAAGAAGAAATGGTGCAGTCTACAGGTTTCTCCTGACCCGGGCGTCTACACGAATCGACGGCGCAGCGGCGAAGCTGAGACCGGGAAGCTGTGGATTTTACGTGACGTGATAGGCACGGCGGGCTGCAAAACGGTTGGGCGACAGTTTCCTTTTAACTAAGGCTGCCCCGACTCCGATAGTTTTTGCTTCTACACCGTGGCCGAGTTCGCGCGGGCAACAACGACGATACCCCATCCGACAAAAGCGGACGCTGGGTGAACGGCGGGAAGCGGAATTGTCGGGGGGTGAATACGAAAAATATGACGACGGAGGGAAAGTTGTGGGTGATCCAGCAGATCACTTGAGTGATAGGTTGAGCCCGTGCACCAATCTACCGCGAATTTCGGAGTCTATTCGGTAGACCCCCGAAAGGGTTTGATATCGTTACATGGAGGCGCGGCGAGCGGTACATTGCCAAGGATACCTGGGATTCTCAAAGTAGTCCGGCGGGTACGAAGATGGGTGAACATCGGAGTACCAGGGAAAAAACGGCGGAAACGTCGGGGCTATACGGCGGAGAATAACTTCGGGACTGCAGCCTCAACCACGATTTTCGGGGTTATCTTCTTACGGAAAAAAAAAAAAAAAAAAAGGAGTTGAAGCTGAGGGTGTTTCTTCGTTTCTTGGAGTGCGGTTGATACCTAGGACCCACGGGTGTTTAAACGTACACCGCGGGAAATTCTTCAGGGAGCGTGGGAGCAGCCGAGGCTTCGGGATTTACCTGCCGGTGACGCGCGATGAGGTGAAACATCGCAAAGCGCCAGTGGGAGTTTGCGTGGTTTTCAGTTAAGCGACACCGACTGGAGCAGTTTCGACGACGGGGTCAAAGGCGTTGATGCCACTAGGTTCCGTGAAATTCGGTCTCGGAAGACCCAGGGCAGTCCCCGGTTCTCGATTGAACCCACATGCTGGGGTCGGGTAAACCGACGGAAACTGATGGTGACCGGGTGGGCGGCTATAGCACGACCGAAGATTTCGGAGGCGAACTGCACCTGCAACTGCGGAGTTTCGGGGTTATGTTCCAACGACATTTTCGGAGATTTCAACGGGGACTTGCAGGTTTTACGGCGGGAAGCGGCGACAACATCGGAGGAGTATTCGGCGTTTGATTAAACGCGCGCGCATTTGTGTGGGCAACACTGCGAGATCTACACGGAGTTTTCAAGGGGTATGAAGGACTTACGACGAACTGGAGGTGGCAGCAGCAACAGTGGAAGGGGGGAGAGACAGCTGTAATTTTTTCATCTCTGCCCAGGACCCCTCGGCGCAACGCGACAAACTCCTCGGCGAGTCTGGACAAACTGCCGGGAGTAGCTGACGTCATCTGACCCTGATAAAGTGTTCGACAATTCTCCACGGAGCGACATTCAAATTGGTTACTGTTTCAACAACAATCGCCGACAGTTTCGTACCATCCCCGATTTTACGGCCAGAGGATTTCGGGACAGGAACTCCAACTCTACTAACGACAATTCGCCCACCTCGACCCGCCCAGGACAAATGAGTTTACATTCTGCCCACGTCAGGTGCTGCCAACTGCAACTGCTGAAGATACTGCAAGATTCTGGCATGTGAAGACAGAACAACTTCAGTTCGAGCAACGCAAAATTTTTGTTTCGGTTTCTGGTCTAATTTAGCTGGTTCGCCCTTGAAGATTTTGGGGCACGTAACAACTGGTTTCGTCATCGAATTTCCACACCGACACAATTCGCCTGGACTCTTCGCTCATCGCTCGTTCTTGGTGGGACTTAACACCCGGTTTTGTTTGTTTTCATCTCGGCGCAGCTGCTGGAACTTTTATGGTGTGTTTTCTTGGAGTGGGGGAGAAAGTGTCAGAATATTATGCTCTAGCCTGCAGTGGGGTGCTCTATAGCGAGTACAACCCTTCTAGGGTTAGCTATTTGTACCACCATTGTTGCTAGTGCAACCCTCTCCTTTGCTTCATTCTCTCTTGCCTAGCTAGGTCAACCCTAGCTATGGCTCCTCATCGTGCTTACTATCTCGACATGCTATCAGAGCAGGACGATCCAGTTGGGTCGATCCTGTGGGTGGGCCCCACCACCTCAGTCTTCCGCTGCTCCTACTACTGTTTGTGTCGCACGCCCCGTGGCGTGCGACGGATTTTTCATCCCGCCGCGCGCTCGGGGCGTGCGGCGGTTTTCTGCCTACCGTGCGCCCCGGACGCGCGGCGGTTTCCTACCGTGGGGGACCCCCGCGCGCCCCCGATTTCCCGTCCCGCTGCCCTGGGGAGCCGCGCACGACCCCCCCGCTGCCCCGATTTCCCGTCGCCCGCGGCCCCCCGTTCCCGTCGCCCGCGGCCCCCCGTTCCCGTCGCCCGCGGCCCCCCGTTCCCGTCGCCCGCGGCCCCCCCGTTCCCGTCACTCGCGACCCCCCGCTGCCCCTTCGCGGCGCCCTAAGGAGCCGCGCGCGGCCCCTCGCTGCCCCGTGGTGGCGTCCTGGGGGCCGCGCGCCGTCCCCCTCGCCGTCCCCCGCGCTCCTTCCCTTTTCCGCCCGTTTTAGGGTTTGGGGGTGAGGAGTGTGGGGGTGGCGGCTATGGGGGTGTCGGTTGTGAGTTACTCCTCCTGCTCCTCCTCCTCCCTCGTCTCCCTCTGCTACAGCTGCCGCTGAGGGGGGTGGTGTGTGGGAGCCTAGGGTTTGGGGTTTAAGGGGGGTACCGTGGGAGTGGAGCTAGGGTTTGAAGCAGGGGGTGTGTGTCGAGGGGTGTGGGACTGTTGGGGGAGGTTGAGCGGAGGTTGCCGTCGTGTCGTACGCAGCGCCTGTACTCCGGGGCACTCATTCCCGGTAGCTCAGAGAGCCGGTTGCGCCGTCGCCTGTGGGTCCGTTGCTCCTGTCGCGCGTATTAGCCGCGGAGCCTGTTACTCCTGTACTCCGGGGCACTCATTCCCGGTAGCCACTGTGTTGCACCAGAGCCGTCTGTTGCCCGTGTGTCTGCAGCTTCAGTCGTCGCCTCCTAATCTACTCTCCTCTCGCCAGCCCTCCTCCTCCTCACTTACCCTCTGTGACTGCCTCTAGCTTTACTCATAATTGTGAACTTTAAACTATTCCTTCTTGAACTTGTGCTCAGAATGTGTGGTGACATCGTGATCCACCCTGAGCTTGTACTGCTTTGCTAGCTCTGCTGATTACACCCCACTTTGGCTATGGGGGTGTGTCAGAATATTATGCTCTAGCCTGCAGTGGGGTGCTCTATAGCGAGTACAACCCTTCTAGGGTTAGCTATTTGTACCACCATTGTTGCTAGTGCAACCCTCTCCTTTGCTTCATTCTCTCTTGCCTAGCTAGGTCAACCCTAGCTATGGCTCCTCATCGTGCTTACTATCCCGACAGAAAGTGCTTCGCACTGTTCTTTCCTTGGCGTTTTCTTGGTCCTTTTCTGACTTTGTCAGGTTGCGTCAGCACGACGAACGACTACGATTGCTGCTTCACGATCAACGATCCCTACTCAATCGCGTTTGAATTCGCGTCAGCAGGTTCCCTCCAAAATCGCATCTGCCTCGACCGTCAGATTCGCTGCTGCTCGATCAACGGCCCACATTCCAACTTCCACTTCATTTTGGGCCAGCTCATCCTCATCCGTCAGATCGACATCTGACTGCATCTACGGCCCACAATCCAACTTTCATTACATTTGGGCCACTTCATCTTCGACCGTCAGATCGAAATCTGACAACATCAACGGCCGACATTCCAACCTTTTCAACAATATTGTCTGGGGCATTTCAGCCGTCGGATTCAGCTGAAGTGAAGATCAACGGCATCCTCGCTACTGGGTGACCCTTTTCAGTACAGGGCTGCCTTATTTAGGAGGTGGGAGAGTGTAAGGATTTACAAATCCTTACTGAGGCGCTCGATAGCGAGGCCATCCCGAGGGCCACGCGACCAACTGGTTCGGCCTACAATTTCGCATCCCAACCTCACCGAGCCGCCTCCGCACCAATCGCGACACTTCGCGAGCCAACTCTACCACACCATCCCCGCCTAGCTAGGTTTTCCCCTATTTAGGCCTCGCTACTTCATTGTTCAATCATTCTGTAGTTCAACATTCTCGTTATTCGATATCTGCGCACTCTGACAAGTTCATTCATAACATGTTTCCAGATGCCTTGTCTGAAGAACTTTAGACACGTGTCTGACCATCCATCCCCCTCCCGTCCCTCAGCTCCTGGACCTCGGAACTTTCTTCTTTCTTCGCGTCTCATTAGTCCAGCACAGCACGGCCAATCCGTTTTCTCCATGTGAATCATCTCCCGCCACAAATCCATACAGAAACATTTCCCGAGGTCCCCATTTCTCCCCTGTCCGCTCCCACCAACTACGGGCGCACGCACGGGAACAAGAATGCACGCAGCCAGCTTTTCAGGCCAAACCCGCCCTCCGCCCCACCCGCCGCAGAGTGATGTGCCCCCCATCTCGACCATCTCAAGGCATTTCGTTTCAACCTCCCTTTCCGCACAAAAGCATTTGCTGCTGCCACCACAGTGTGCCATCAGCATCGAATAGCTGAATTGTTCAGTCGGTCCACGAGCCAATCCCCTCCCCGCATTACCGATTAATCATGGCCAGCGCGTCGTGCCTCGCAAAGGTGAACCTGCAGCCGTCGCCCTGCGCTGCAGGTCTCAGAAGCCAGACCGCTGACAGCGCGTCCTTGCGCAAGAGCGTCGCGGTGCAGTCATGCGGAGTGCGGAGGGGAGTGAGCGTGCGCGCGCAAAAGGACGCGGAGAGGGTTGGCGTGGCGGCGGCGGCCGTGGCTCTGACGGCACAACTGACGACCGCAAATGCCGCGCTGGCCGTGGACGCGGACCAAGTCCGGGAAACACTCGCCCAGGCATGTACCGCGTCCGTTCTCAGCGTCCTGAGTCACCTCATTCGTAACAATTGTATAAATTGCTGTATGGAGCTGTTGTTTTAAGGGTTTATTTATGTCATCGTCCCTTCATGCCCTGATTTTTACTTTCTCAAATTTTAACTCCCTAATCCGTAATCCTTCGTTTGTCCAGGTGGAGGAATTGGCAAAGCAGACTGCTGACCTGGCAACCAAGGTGTACAGCACGAGCATCGACGTGGCAGAGCAGGTGGTGCGCGTCACCAAGCCGCTGGTGGAGGCGGCAGCGCCGGTGGTGATCGAGGGCGCGCAGGAGGCGATAAAGGCGGCGGCGCCGGTGGCATCGGACCTGGCGGAGAAGGCGTCCAAGGCGCTGCAGGACTCGGGCGTCGACGTCGCGCCCGTCGTCGAGGCCGCTAAGGTGCGTTAAGGTTGCTAGGGCACATTTTGGGTCGCGCTTTTCGTTCAGAGCCGTTATGGTACGTTCCCCCTCTGCGACAAACAAGCCTCGTGCCGAACCTGCACGAGGCAAGCATGCATACACGGACTTGATCATATTGCTGAACTTGTTCGGCCTGTGACAAAACCGTGGGGAAGCAACAATAAGAAGCACTGGAAAGGCGGTGGAGCGATAATGAGAAGCCTGGAATGAACGTGGCACATCGTCCCGAGGCCGTGAGCGAGAGAAAGTGCAAGAGCACTCTGGTTTCAGCAGCCTGCGGTGTGAATTAATGCTTTATGCTTACGTCGCTGAGTCTAGCGGATTGTGCGGCTGACGTGGCGGCACTGCTGGCATCGCGAGGGTTCACCAACGGCCGCAACACTGACACATGCAAACCCCACCTCACCGTCGTGATCGCCTCCCATCCTTCCACTCCACCCGTCTCACCGGCCCCCATCCCACTAGTCCCCACCTCACCACTCTCCATCTCATCTCACCGCGCCCTCCATCTCACTGCCTACCATCTCATCGCCCCTTATCTCACCACCTCTCCACATCCCCCCATCCCCACCTCCCCTGTGCGGCTGTGGGCGTGCAGACGGCGGTGAGCGTGGCGGACGGAGTGAGCGACAGCACGGGGCGCGCGATCACGGCGGTGACGCCGTACGCGACGAGCACCGTGGACCTCCTCACCTCCGCCGACCCCACCGCGCTCTCCATCGCGGCGGGCGGGCTCTTCGGGCTGTACTTGCTGCTGCCCTCCATTGGCCGCAGCATCGCCTACTCCTTCCGCGGCTATGCAGGTGCGCTTCCGGCTGCTGCTGCTGCTGCCCCCGTCGCCGCCGCCACCGCCGCCGCCGCCGCCGCCGCCGCCGCTGCCTCTGTTTTCCCCCGTCCCCATCTCATTTGCTCTCAGTGTCACTCGCTCCCACTCCCACTGACACTCGCCCCAACTCACTCGCCCTACCTCCCCGTCACTCGCTCCCACTCACGCTACTTCCACCAGTGCGCCTGACCCCGGTTGTCCCCCCTTCGCCACACCCCCTTTGTCTCCCTCCCTCCCGCCCCGCTTGTCCCCGGTGCAGGCGATCTGACGGCAGCGCAGGCGTTGGACGTGTTGGAGAGGGAGGACAGCGTGCTGGTGGACGTGCGCTCCCACTGCCACTCCCTTCAACTCAAACACACCCCCCTCCCTCCCCCTGCCCCCTCCCCCCACTCCTCCTTCTTTCCGTTCCCCCACGAGCAGGCGACCTGACGGCAGCGCAGGCGTTAGACGTGTTGGAGAGGGAGGACAGCGTGCTGGTGGACGTGCGCTCAGAGGACCAGAAGCTCTCCTCCGGCGTGCCCTCGCTGCCCCGCGGCCTCTCCCGCAAAATTATCTATGTCCCGTGAGTCCCGTGCCATACACTTGCATTCAACCACTCCCTCCTCGTGGTCTTGTGCTCCTGGTAGTCTCGGTCTCAATGCTGGCCACTCCATCCCAACTGCTTTCACCCTGCAATACGCCCCTCGCAAGGGCGTGCCTGCACCCTCAACCCATCATAACAAACTGGACCAAACAGAACGGCTGCTAGATTGCACATGGAAAGCCACACACAAAAAGAGCGGAGGAGGTGACGGTTGAACAGCAAGAGAAACTAAAGAGCCAGACAAGACTTCTGAATTGACTAAAAAATCTCCCCTCTCCTCCCCAAAACCCCCCCTTTCCCCCCCTCTCCCCCGCTGTGCATCCTCAGAGTGGAGGAGGTGCCAGTGGAGCTGCGCGACCAGCTGAAGAACCCGTTGGACACGGAGGCGGAGCTCACAGCCATCAAGGTGGCCTCGCTCAAGAGAATTGGCCGCCGCGCCAAACTCATCGTCATCGACAAGTCAGTTCCCTCCCTCACCACCTTTGCTGCCTATGCTCCCCTTGGTTTAATTTCATTTCGGTCCCGCATCTAACTTCCGACTCGTCAGCTTCTCTACCGACCTCTGTCGATCTTGACACACTCTCAAATCTCTCCCCTCCCCTTTACCCATCCCCAACACCACCCATCTCCTCCCCGCAGCGACAACGAGATTTCAAAGCAGGTGGCGCGGTCGCTGGCGTCACTAGGCTATCGCAACGTGTGGGTCGTGCGCGACGGCGTGGAGGGGCGGGCCGGGTGGGCGGCGAGCCAGCTGGCGATCGACTCGTACGACGGGCCACCTACCAGCTGGTTCTCCGTGCCGTCTTACTCGCCGGGCGGCACCAGCAAGGAGCGCACCGGCACCCAGAAGCTCGGCACCCAGTCACGGCTCGGCACGCAGTCGGTGTCTGCAGCTGCCTCCACTGCTGCTGGGGAGGAGTAAAGTTGAGCAGGGGGGGTGCAGCAACGGCAGGTAAAAGAATGCTTGCAAAGCTATTCTCAACAAGCTTTAGGTGCTTGCCTTTTTTTGTAAATTAGGTCCGTGTTGCTCCAACCAAGGAATACATTAATAAAATGTTTGGGGTGCTGTTTGTGGTAAAAGTCAGTAGATGCGGAATTTCAGGCCTTTGAGCTCTTAGCGTGGGTTGTATGTTGAGCTACTTTTAGTAACTTATTGTTCCACAACATTGAGTCACACTAAATGCGTATGAGAGCAACCGCTGATTTAGCCCATCAACGCTCCACACCACGACCAACATCCCTCCTCCCAAGCTCGCCCTGCCCAGTCTCTAGCTCGCCCCTTTCCGCGATACAATGCCGCTTCGCTCCGCAATCACAGGGCCCTTCGTTTCTGCCTTCCGCCCCTGTGCGTTGCACATCCTTCCCCGCGCCTTTCCGCCACCCATCCCTGCGCCCATGACTGCGCACATCCCTGCTCCCGTCGCTGCGGCCAGAGGCGCGGACCTGAGGGGAACCCGCGCAACCAATTTCACGCGAAGCCGCACGGTCCGCGGCAGCCAATCCTCGTCGTCATCGGTTCATCGCGAATCGTCGCTGCGGCCTCAGGCGATCCGCCTTTCCTCGTCGCTCACCCGCCACGCCACCTCCGCCGCTTTCTCTCCTGCCCAGCCAATCTCATTCGCCACCGCCACGTCAGCTCGGATTAATCTCCGCGGCTCGCATAAACAAAGCGGGGGATTCAGGGGGCTGCGCTGCGCAGGTCGAGCGGACGCGCTGGCATCCGGGGAGGCGGGCGCGGGGGTCGCGCGGGGAGGCGAGAGCAGCGCGTGGTGCGTGGAGCTGGTGCCGTGCCTCACGGATAATTACGCTTACCTCCTCCGCAACGCCGCCACCGGCGCCGCGCTCGTCGTCGACCCCGCGGAAGCCGCGCCCGTGGAGGCGCGACTGGCGGAAGGGGAGGGGCGGACAGGCGGGAAGCTGGCGGCTGTGCTGTGCACGCACCACCACTGGGACCACACGGGCGGCAATCTGGCGCTAAAAGACAAATTCGGCGCCACGGTAGGTGGGCCCTTTGTGAGGGGCCGACCCTGGGTGCTGAAACCCTGAAGCTGCGGCCGTGTGACCGGTTGCTCGGGATTATGCTTCCTCACACATCACCACATGGCTTCCTCACACATCACCACATGGCTTCCTCGCACATCACCACATGGCTTCCTCGCACATCACCACATGGCTTCCTCGCACATCACCACATGGCTTCCTCGCACATCACCACATGGCTTCCTCGCACATCACCACATGGCTTCCTCGCACATCACCACATGGCTTCCTCGCACATCACCACATGGCTTCCTCGCACATCACCACATGGCTTCCTCGCACATCACCACATGGCTTCCTCGCACATCACCACATGGCTTCCTCGCACATCACCACATGGCTTCCTCGCACATCACCACATGGCTTCCTCGCACATCACCACATGGCTTCCTCGCACATCACCACATGGCTTCCTCGCACATCACCACATGGCTTCCTCGCACATCACCACATGGCTTCCTCGCACATCACCACATGGCTTCCTCGCACATCACCACATGGCTTCCTCGCACATCACCACATGGCTTCCTCGCACATCACCACATGGCTTCCTCGCACATCACCACATGGCTTCCTCGCACATCACCACATGCCTTCCTCGCACATCACCATATGGCTTCCTCGCACATCACCACATGGCTTCCTCGCACATCACCACATGGCTTCCTCGCACATCACCACATGGCTTCCTCGCACATCACCACATGGCTTCCTCGCACATCACCACATGGCTTCCTCGCACATCACCACATGGCTTCCTCGCACATCACCACATGGCTTCCTCGCACATCACCACATGGCTTCCTCGCACATCACCACATGGCTTCCTCGCACATCACCACATGGCTTCCTCGCACATCACCACATGGCTTCCTCGCACATCACCACATGGCTTCCTCGCACATCACCATATGGCTTCCTCGCACATCACCACATGGCTTCCTCGCACATCACCACATGGCTTCCTCGCACATCACCACATGGCTTCCTCGCACATCACCACATGGCTTCCTCGCACATCACCACATGGCTTCCTCGCACATCACCACATGGCTTCCTCGCACATCACCACATGGCTTCCTCGCACATCACCACATGGCTTCCTCGCACATCACCACATGGCTTCCTCGCACATCACCACATGGCTTCCTCGCACATCACCACATGGCTTCCTCGCACATCACCACATGGCTTCCTCGCACATCACCACATGGCTTCCTCGCACATCACCACATGGCTTCCTCGCACATCACCACATGGCTTCCTCGCACATCACCACATGCCTTCCTCGCACATCACCACATGGCTTCCTCGCACATCACCACATGGCTTCCTCGCACATCACCACATGGCTTCCTCGCACATCACCACATGGCTTCCTCGCACATCACCACATGGCTTCCTCGCACATCACCACATGGCTTCCTCGCACATCACCACATGGCTTCCTCGCACATCACCACATGGCTTCCTCGCACATCACCACATGGCTTCCTCGCACATCACCACATGCCTTCCTCGCACATCACCACATGCCTTCCTCGCACATCACCACATGCCTTCCTCGCACATCACCACATGCCTTCCTCGCACATCACCACATGCCTTCCTCGCACATCACCACATGGCTTCCTCGCACATCACCACATGGCTTCCTCGCACATCACCACATGGCTTCCTCGCACATCACCACATGGCGTCCTCGCACATCACCACATGGCTTCCTCGCACATCACCACATGGCTTCCTCGCACATCACCACATGGCTTCCTCGCACATCACCACATGGCTTCCTCGCACATCACCACATGGCTTCCTCGCACATCACCACATGGCTTCCTCGCACATCACCACATGGCTTCCTCGCACATCACCACATGGATTCCTCGCACATCACCACATGGCTTCCTCGCACATCACCACATGGCTTCCTCGCTGCTCGTTGCTCCCCTCCCCATGGCTCCTCACCCCGTCGCTTCTCACCCCATTGCTTCTCACCACACTCCCTGCGCATGCTCCCCTGCTGCAGGTGGTTGGCCCCGCTGCCGATCGGGACCGCATTCCAGGCATTGACGTGGCGCTGTCAGATGGTGACACGTGGCAGTTTGAGGGGCTAGAAATGCACGTGCTGCACACGCCCGGCCACACCCGAGGTACAACCGTGCCACTTGGGGAGGGAGAGAGGGTAGGGGGGGTGCTGAGCCGGGAGAGGCACTTCAGGGAACCCAGAAATGGCAGTGAGCAGAGTGAGTGAGTGTATGTCAGTGAGTGAGTGCTCATCACCACAGTCAGTGCCCGCAAAGTATTAGCAATCGAATTATACGCTTGATTTTCACACTCCTTCCACTCTCCTCGTCCTCTTCCTAATCTCCTTCCTCCCTCTCCATTCTGCTTATCTTCCTCTCATCCAGTGGCGCAAACCCACCCTCTCCTCTCCCCACTATCTCCCCTCTCCCCCCTATCCCCCCTCTCCCCCTACCCTCCCAGGTCACTGCGTGCTCTACTTCCCATCCCTGGCAGCGCTATTCACGGGCGACACGCTCTTCTCCCTCGGCTGTGGCCGCCTCTTTGAAGGCTCGCCCTCCCAGGTGCCGTCTGCATTGCCCTCCAGGCAACTGCTGGCTGACACGCGTGCTTCCCTGCCCCCTCTCTTGCTTTCCCTCCCCACTCCTTTCCTCGTCCCTCCCTCGTCCCGCTCCCCCGCGTCCCTCAGTTCCCTCGCCTCCAATCAACACAGCTCACCTCCTCTCTCCCCATCCCCATGCAGATGTGGGCGTCTCTCTCCCGCATTGCCTCACTGCCCCCGGACACCAAGGTCTACTGCGGCCACGAGTACACGCAGGTCAAAACCCGCTCCTTGCTCTTGCTTGCTCCTTTTTGCCTTTTCTGCATTTGTGTTGACTGGTGTTTTCTAACGTGTAATCGTATTCGTAACATGAAACTTTCTCATGTGTGGTATGTGGGTGTGTGTCTGTGATGGGTGATGGGTGTCCCAAACGACACAGGCCAATGCGCGGTTTGCCATGGCAGTGGAGCCAAACAACCCCGCCCTGCAGCAGCGCGTGGACGAGATCACCCGCCTGCGAGCCCATTCGCTGCCCACCGTGAGCCCCCTCCCCATCTCGCTCATTCATCTGCTGGATGTGCATGTGCATGTGCATGTCATTTCCTACCTCCCTCTTCTGCACTGCCTTTCCGCCCATCTCTACTCATTCCCCCATCTGCCCATTCATAATACCAATACCCCTCCCATCCACCCGACACCCCTCCCTCCGGCCCTCTGCCCCCCTCAGATCCCCAGCACGGTGGGCCAGGAGGCGGCCACCAACCCCTTCCTGCGTGCTGCCAGTCCTGAGATTCGCCAGTCGCTGCACATGAGCACTGGTGCTGCTGACGTGGACGTGTTTGCCGCCCTCAGGCGCATGAAGGACAACTTCTAGTCGGCCACTTGTGCCTTGTAGCTATTAGCGCCCACAGTTGCTTAGTGTGCTGCACGATGCATATTGCTGCAGCACAGTGATGTGCTAATGGTGGCTGTACGTTGTGCTGTTAATAAAAGGCTCGCATTGTGTTGATCCATGAACGTTGAACACATGCAGCGGGCATCAACACAGGTTGGCACAATGCACGGTGATCAGCCCATGATGTAATGTAGACAGCTGGGCCTACTTCCCTCCAAGGCATCTACCGGTAAATTAAAACGCCTCGCACCAGTGCGCTGTTAAACCCAAGACGTTAGAATGGGTGGTCATCCCATGATGTCAAACGGCTGGAACTGCTTCTTGAACGCATCAGCCATGGCTGCCTCTTCCTCTGCCGTCTCCTTGCACGCCCGCCAGTCGCCCCTCTCTGGTACGCCCACCACCCCAGCCAGCACCTGCCATCATGCCATGCGGTCGCGGGGTAATGGGTGGGAGAGGGGGGTATGACGAGAGGAGATCATGTGGGAGGCCATGAGAAAGAGGGGAAGGGGGGGAGAAGGGGGGGGGGGGGGGGAGGGGGGAGGGGCAGCACAAGGCACGCACAGCACACATGAACCACAGACCCCACCTCGCTCTCATCCCAACTCCCCTCTCACCTCCCTCCCCAGCTGCATGGGCAGCTTGGCACCGCGGTCGATGGCATGCACCAGCAGCGACCCATCGGGCAGCTCCACAGAGAGGTACTGCCCCCCGCGGCTCTGCTTCTTCACCTCGTCGATCGCTGTCATGTGCTGCCCCTCTGGTCGTAGGGGACGGGGCGGAAGGGACGGAGAGAGGACGGGTGAGGACGTGCAAGGAAGGAGAGACTTGACGACCCATCGGGCAGCTCCACTGTGAGGTACTGGCCTCCGCGGCTCTGCTTCTTCACCTCGTCGATTGCCACCATGTGCTTCCCCTCTGATGTGTGCAGGGGAAGGGAGATGGGGCGGAGTGGGGAGAGGCGAGGAGGTAAGGAAGCATGGAGATGCGAGGAGGTAAGGAAGCATGGAGATGCGAGGAGGTAAGGAAGCATGGAGATGCGAGGAGGTAAGGAAGCATCGAGATGCGAGGAGGTAAGGAAGCATGGAGATGCGAGGAGGTAAGGAAGCATGGAGATGCGAGGAGGTAAGGAAGCATGGAGATGCGAGGAGGTAAGGAAGCATGGAGATGCGAGGAGGTAAGGAAGCATGGAGATGCGAGGAGGTAAGGAAGCATGGAGAGGCGAGGAGGTAAGGAAGCATGGAGATGCGAGGAGGTAAGGAAGCATGGAGAGGCCAGGAGGTAAGGAAGCATGGAGATGCGAGGAGGTAAGGAAGCATGGAGATGCGAGGAGGTAAGGAAGCATGGAGATGCGAGGAGGTAAGGAAGCATGGAGATGCGAGGAGGTAAGGAAGCATGGAGATGCGAGGAGGTAAGGAAGCATGGAGATGCGAGGAGGTAAGGAAGCATGGAGATGCGAGGAGGTAAGGAAGCATGGAGATGCGAGGAGGTAAGGAAGCATGGAGATGCGAGGAGGTAAGGAAGCATGGAGATGCGAGGAGGTAAGGAAGCATGGAGAGGCGAGGAGGTAAGGAAGCATGGAGATGCGAGGAGGTAAGGAAGCATGGAGATGCGAGGAGGTAAGGAAGCATGGAGAGGCCAGGAGGTAAGGAAGCATGGAGATGCGAGGAGGTAAGGAAGCATGGAGATGCGAGGAGGTAAGGAAGCATGGAGATGCGAGGAGGTAAGGAAGCATGGAGATGCGAGGAGGTAAGGAAGCATGGAGATGCGAGGAGGTAAGGAAGCATGGAGATGCGAGGAGGTAAGGAAGCATGGAGATGCGAGGAAGGAGAGACCCCACGGTCACACACGACCAAGTTACGGTTCAGGTGCATCCACCGTGGCTTCGAGCTCAAGTGCTTTACCAGGTGTTTCAAACAGAGGTGCTTGCAGATTCAGGTGGTTTACCAGGTGGTTTTGGCACGGAGGCGAACTGGAAGTTGTGGGCGGCAGCAGCGGCAGTGAAGGCAGGCAACACCTGGTCCGCCTTGTCCTGTGGGATGGGCACCACCTGCCATGTATGTATGCACACATGACAACCACATGGGAAAGGAATGGAGGGAGAATGAGAGAGGGGTTAGGGCGACGGTGCATGACAGACAGGCAGGCAGCACCTGGTCCGCCTTGTCCTGGAGGATGGGCACCACCTGCCATGTATGCACGCATCGTGAGCAAAGGGGAAGAGGAGTGAGCAGTGGGGAAAAGAGAATACGAGAGCGCATTGGACGAGAGTGAGGGGCGCCGCAAACATCCCACTCCCAACCCCTCTCACATTGACATGCGCGTGAGTGGCTGCCCTGAGCTGCAGGAATCGCTCAAACGCCACCAACGTCTGCCCCTGTGCCTCAAAGCACTTCCTCAGGGCTCCCATATACCGCCACATCTCCGCCAGCGCGTCTGACGGCAGCGAGATGACGCTAGGGAAGTGCTCTATAGGGAGGATGAGCACGTGCCCCGGCACAAGGGGGCCCTTGGGTAAGGCCACATAGCAATGCTCGCCCACCGATACCACCAAATGCGTCTCCACTTTAGGGGACGCCAGGCAGAACCAGCACGGCGCAGGGGCGGGGGGCGCTGCTCCCCCCGCTGCTCCCCTGTTGCCCCCCCTGCGCCCCCTGCTGTGGGAGCAAGCAGAGCGGCGAGGGAGGCGGGGGTGAGGGGAGGGGGAGTGCCGAGGAGGCCGGGGGAGGTGGAGGGCAGAGAGTGGGCGAAGCGGCACGTGTCACCGCGAGTGCAGCTGCCCCGCCGCACAAGGTCAAAGCACACGCCCTTGAGCAGGTCTGACGCTCCGCTGCTGCTGGGGCCCACACCAGCAGCAGCAGCAACCGCAGCCGCTGTCGCGACAGCAGCAGCAACAGAGCCAGGAGCAGCGTTCCCGCCTCCCCCCTGCGCCTCCCCCGCTCCTCCCCCCGCTCCTCCCCCAGCCTCCTCACCCGCCAGCGAGTGTCTAAACCGACAATCCGCCCCTCTGCTGCAGGTGCCCTTGCTGAAGTGCTCGAAGCACAGGTTGCGGGGCAGCGGTGACCCGTCGTCTAGTGCGTGCATGAAGCGACACGCATCGCCCCGCGAGCACACGCCCTTGCCTGACAACTCAAAGCACACCTGAGGCCCCTCCCTGCCCCCTCCCCCTCCCCCCGGCCCCCCGTCCCGCCGCGCCTTCTTCTTCCCTGCTGCGTACCGCCAGTACTGCTCCCCCTCACCCGCCCCCCCCGCCCCCCGTGCCTCTTCCTCCTCCACCTTCAGCGCCCACGCAGGCTTCACCGCCCCCTCCCCCCCTCCTTTCCCCCCGTCGGAACTTTCCCAGAAGGTGCGCTTCGCAGCGGCCTCCTCGGCCTTCGCCTGGGCAGCAGCGGCAGCAGCCCGGGCGGCACCGTCAGGGGCGGCGAGGCTGCCAGTCCAGATTTGATTCTTGGCGGGCGAGGGGCGGGGGAGGAAGGGGGAGGGTGTGGCGTCAGGGGGCCGGGCGGCGAGGTGGGAGAGGGGGAGGGAGGAGGCGGGGCGCAGGGAGAGCGCGTGGAGGAACTTCTGCTTCGCCTTGTTGCCCACCGGGGCCAGACCTATGAACCGCGTCACGGCGCCCGATGCTGACGTGGAAGCGTCTTCTGCTGATGTGGCGGAGGAGTTGATGTAGGGCGGGCGGGCAAAGAAGACACCTGCGCCACCAGCCACGTGGTAGCTGAGCGGCAACGAGTGCGGGGAAAGGGGGGGAAGAAGCAGGGGGAGAGAGGGGGGACATGATGGGAGAAGAATCATGGGATAGTGTATGAATGCTGCTCAAATCCACGAGCACGCACATTGGTAAACGCACAACCCACCCAATTAAATCTCCATTCCCACCCATTCCACCCCTCCGCTCTCCCTCCTCCCCCGTCCCCTCACCGCGGCATGAGCTCCTTGGCCAGCGTGGCAGCAACTGGCGACCCCACACCCGCCCAGTCCACGCTGGCAGGCGCCGACGCTGACGTGGCGGGCGGTGGCGAGGGCAGCAGAGAGGGGTGCGTGAGAGCAGCGACCCCCTTGGGCCACTGGTTGGTGAGCAGCACATCAATTGCCGTCCCGTCCGCCCCCGCATCCACCAGCGCCTCCACTGCCGCGCGCTCCTGCCGCCCCACCGCTGCCCCTGTGCTCCCCGCCTGCCCCGAGAGGTACGTGGCAGGATCGTATCTGCCGCCCAGATAGGCCACCTTGAGGCCTGCGGGGCGGGACAGGGGAGGGGCGGGGTAGGGTGGAGGGTAGGTGGGGTGGTGGTGGGGCACAGTTGGAACAGTGGTGGGCAGTGGGAGGTTGAGGTGGGGCGGATTGGATCCAGCCGGCAGGCAGAGAGGGGATGGCTTGATTTGGCCTCTGCGCACAGAGCAGAGAGCTCACAGCATGCATGGTTCCTGATGCATGTTCATGATGCATGATGCATGATTGGCCACTCACGCACCGCACAGGTCAGCAATGCCTGCACCGCGCAGCCATTCGATATTGTGACATATCTTCACGCGCCTGTGCGACCGCCACTCCCCCTCCCCCACCTCCTCGTCCTCCTCTTTCTCACTCCCCCCTGACTCGTCCCCTTGCCCGCCCGCCCCGGCCTCTCCCTTGCCCTCCTCCCCTTTCCCTGCTTCATCATCCGCTTTGCTCCCACCCCCCTCCCTTATCTCCTCCCCCTGGCACTCCTTTCTCCTCCCCCTCCCTTTCCTCCTCCCCCTCCGCTTTCTCCTCCCCTTCCCCTTTCCCCCCCTCTTCTACTTCCTCCTCCCCTTCCGCTTTTTCCTTCTCCTCCCCTGCCTCCCCTTCTTTCCGCGTCACCGCCCCCCCGCCGCCCCGCGCAGCTATCTCCAGCAGCCGCTGCGCGCCGACTCCAATGTCGCCGATCAAGAACGTCGGAAGCGGTGCCTTGGCGCGTCCCGCGATGTAATCTTCCAGCTCCGATTGGCCGTCCGCTCCGCCTGCGGCGGCGGAAGCGGGATCGGCGGGCGGGAAGAAAGCGCCGACGCAGAAGAGACAGTCGAATGGACCGTTGGATTTGTTGACCTGCGATTGGTGGAGCGAGAAAGCAGGAAGAGAGAGAGACGATGAAGAGGACAGAGGAAAGACAGGAAATCAGAGGTACAGAGACGAAGAGGTCGATGAGCCCGAGGCGATTACGGCGACGAGCCTCCAGGGAGACGGGATCGTTGATCCTCGAATAGGTTAACACGGAGCGGACAAGAAATACTCTAATCGCGAGATTCATCACATGTCAGCACCGCTACGGCGACTCACCGCAGCGGCTCGTTTGAACAGCAGGTTCAGGCGACCTTCCACGTCGCCCGCGAAAAGGTATCGGCCGTGAGGCTCGGCCGCCATGGGGAAGAAACCCGTGCGATGCGCTGGCTGAATGAGAACCACCTAGAGCTCGACTGCAGAGCCAGATTGAAGGCGCAATTTACTGGTTGGGTCCTTCGAAATTGAGATTTGAAATGGTGCTGTGCATCCCATTCAAATTAGGGTTCTTATGTCGAAGGCACCGAAAGAGCAGGATGCCGAGAATGACTATTGGTTCGAGTTTATAAATCTTGGGCTCAGCGATCGGGACACATTTGATTCGTTGTGCTGCGCCCTCAGGTTCGTCATGCCTTAGCAAGGCTCCGAGCCACTCCCAAGGCTCCTCAGAAGCATGAATCTGCCTCGAGCTTTGCTCCAGGAGGGTCCGAACCACAATCAACCACCAGCAAACTTGAACTTACAATACCCGAGCCAGCATTAGACGCTCGACTGTTCTACTGACCAATAGGAGACTAGTCTTGCTGGTCATTTGGGCCTCGCATGAGGGCGGCTTGGTTGAGGACTTTGGCGGGGCGAGCCTAGCGAAATGTGATGGTGTGGGGACTCCGTTGGCTTGGGAAGACAGGTGGACGCGAGGTAAGGAAATCTCGCGCAATTTGCCGGTAGGGGCAGAACGAAAGCACCCTCGATTTTCTCCTCCCAACCACCCTCTCCATTTCCCCCTGCGCCTCGCCTCACCTCCATCCTTCCCATCTCATCCCAAGTTGATCCCTTGAACGCTCTCCGCTATCTCCGCGCCCCGTCCACATCACACGCACTCCATCTTCCTGCCTGCTTGTTGTTGGTTTTGTCTATGGCAGCGAATTTCGCGAGTAGGTAATGCCGGTTCTCCGAAACGTACTAGATGGAATGGCGCTCTATGGTATTAGGTGGACTTCAGAGAACGGCGGTGTTTGACATGATTTGAAGTAGGAAAACGGCATTGGCCGGATTTTATTAGGTCATATTCTTAGCTTTTACGAGATCCATTATCAAAATGTGTTCCTGAAGTGTCGTTTCAGTTGCGGCGCGTAGCCGCCTGCCAGCCTGCCATGCCGAGCAACAGCAGCAGCGGTATTGGGGATGGCGACGGGGAAACGACAACGCCGCAAGTGGTGTTGACGCGGCACGGGGTAAGGCTCGCGACGGCCTTCCCCGACTCATCCGTGGGCATCGGCGCGAGCTGTGGCGGGCCTGGCGGTGCCGCTTTGCGTAGCGGATCTCGTGGCGGCGTGCGACGGAGGGAGGGGGCCGACTACGCGGTGCCGCGTCACGTGGTGGAAGAGACCAAGCGGCAGTTGCGGCCGCTGCTTAACGCGCTTAGATTCGTCGAGTCGAGTAACAGGTGCGGAGCGCTCGTCGGCGTTGCACCCACTCTTCTTGTTTTGCACCGCTCTCCGCCCTCCCATTCCTTCTCTCATCTACGCTCCTCGTTCCGTCGTTTCTTCCGCGAACATTTTCCAGGGTGAATTGCCCTGACGGTGACAACGGGAAGAGCATCGGGCCGCTGCAGATATCTGAGGAGTACCATCGCGACGCGTGGGGCCCGCTCACGGGACCGTGGTCGCAGTGCAGGTGATGCTCGCAGCGCAGGTGATGCTCGCAGCGCAGGTGATGCTCGTAGCGCAGGCGATGCTCGTAGCGCATGTGATGCTTTCAGCGCGGCTGTTTTGCGGTATTAGCGGCTATAAGCGGTATTAGCGACTATTGCCGATATTAGTGGCTACTGGCAGCATTGGCAGCTATTAACGGTATTAGCGGCTACTAGCGATATTAGCGAATATTTATGGTATTAACGGTATTAACGGATATCAGCGATATCAGGGGCTAACAGTGGTTCATTATTGTCATTATTAGTAGGTGTCGGTTCATCCAGGGCTGTTGGATTGCTGTGCATGGCCCCTTGTTTTTGCAACTTGGCGCCAAACTTCCTTCTCCCTTCCCCCTTCCCATGGCGGCGTGCTGGCATGGCGGAATGGCGGCGTGGCGGCGTGGCGGCGTGGCGGCGTGCGGCAGGGAGCTGGGGCACGCGGAGGACACGGTGGTGTCGTATTGGATGCGCTACTGCCCGCACGCCATCCGCACGCTCGACTGGGAGCTCCTCGCCAAGGCGCACAACGGTCAGTCGCGCTTCCCCCCGTTCCCCGCTCCCCCCGTCTTCTCCCCCCTCCCCCTCTCCCCCTCCTTCACGCCATCCGCACGCTCCACTGGGAGCTCCTCGCCAAGGCGCACAGCGGTCAGCCGCCCCCCTCGCTCCCCCTTCTCCTGCTTCCTTCCCCCCATTCCTCCCCCCGCCCTCTCCCCCTCCACGCCCTCCGGACTCCCTCTCCTTTCCCGATCACCTGCTTGCTGCCCTCCCCCATCATTCCGCTCTTCCCCTATTCCTCCCCACCCCCAATTTATCACTACCCCCGCCTCCATCCCCCGCCCCGTTTCGCTTTCCCCACCCATTCTTCTTCCCCCTTTCCATCCCCACGCGCCTCCACTTATCAATCCCCCCCCGGTGCAGGCGGGCCGCGCGGGACGCGCTACAGCAAGACGCAGCGGTATTGGGGGAAGGTGCGCCGCCACCTGCAGCACCAGCAGGCGCTGCTCATTCCGCCCTCCGCCGCCACCATCCCCCCCCAACGCCCCGCGCACCTTGCGCCCTCCGCGCTCGCAACTCCTGCAATTCGAGGTGCGTGCCCTGTTCCGCAGGTGGGTTGTTCCGCAGGTGGGTTGTTCCGCAGGTGGGTTGTTCCGCAGGTGGGTTGTTCCGCAGGTGGGTTGTTCCGCAGGTGGGTTGTTCTGCAGGTGGGTTGTTCTGCAGGTGGATGGTGCGTGAATGCGGTGGGCACGAGTTCGCCGGGCGCACCACAGCAGGTGACTGCTGCATGTGGTAGTGCAATCACGGGCTCTCCATCATGCTCGCCTCATTACACACCATTTTGACTCATCGCCGGCTCTCGCCTGGTGTCGCCGCCTTGTGTCGCTTTGTGCCTGCAGACCCGCTGCTGTGTGGTAACCAGTCCGTGGTTACATGGTGCGCTGTGGAGCAGCAGAGGCGGAGGGTGCAGGCGACAGGGAAGGGGGGAGAGGGCGAGTGGGCAATGGGGGTGGATGAGTTAGGGAGAGTGGCGGTGGTGGTGGAAGGAGGAGTGGAGAAGGGGAAGGGGCATGATGGGCAGGGGGATGGGAAGGGGCAGAGAGCGCGGGGGCAGTTACACCAGGTGCAGCACAGCAGCAGGCAGCACAGCAGCAGGCAGCACAGCAGTCGCCCCGGGAGGAGGAGGCCCCGCAGGCTGCTGCTGCCTGTGCGCCTGCTCTCTCCCTCCTCCTCACTGCACCGCACTGCACCGCTCGCCCACATCCCCTTCGCGTCTGCCACGTCAGCAGCCATCGCAGCTGCCACGTTGGCGTATCGTCCGCCCTCCCCTCCTTCCACCCCCCCTGCTCTCTTCTTCCCCTCTCCCCGCCCCTCTGCTTCCGCCCACTCCGCCCCTCCGTTCCCCGCCTCGCCCCCCCACCGCCCCTCCTCTCCGCCCGTCCCTTCCCCGTCCCCCTTCCCCCGGTCGCTATCCCCCTCCGCATCACCAGCGCCAGCGCCAGCAGGGGGGGCGACAGCAGGGGCTGCATGCGCAGCACATGGCGCCCCTCCCCCCCTCCTCCTCGCAGACTCCCCTTCTTCCCCCCGCCCTCCCTTCCCCCCGCACGCCACTTGCCAAGGGGAAGCAGCAAGGGGCGCGGAAGGGTCTGGGGAGGCGGACTTAAAAGGGGAAGCGGTGGATCTAGAGTTGCTGCGCGCACTGATGGGGGGAGATGCGGGGGAAGGGGGGTATGGGGGGGTTGGGGTGGATAAGAGTGACGGGGAGGTTTGGGAAGAGTTGGGGGAGACTGGCTGGGGTGTTGATTTGCTGCTGCAACTGGAGCAAGAAAGGGGGGAGTGGGAGGATGGGGAGGTGGAGGAGGGGCGAGAGCGAGTGGTGGTGGCAGATGGGAGTGTAGAGGAGGGTAACGAGGGGGAGCAGGAGGAGGAGGGGAGTGAAGGGGAGGGGGAGGAAGGGAGCGAGGGGGAAGGCGAGGTGTGGCAGCAGCTGGCGGCGCTGATGGGGGTCTCTGGTGAGAAGGGGGCCTTGGGGGGCGTGGCAGCCGCGGAGGCAGAGGGGCAGGGGGAGCAGGAGGGGCAGGGGGAGGATGGTGGCGGGCTGTCATATGCGGAGATGGCGCAGTGGCTTTTACAGCACAGCGCAGAGGTCGTCTGGGATGGGGAGGGGGAGGACGAGGGGGGTGATGATGTGGATGCAACGAAGGAAGAGGGGGAGCAGGCACAAGGGTGGGCAGCAGCAGAGGCAGCGGGGGGTGCATCAGGAGTGGCGAGTGAATGTGTGGGATCCGTGCTGCTGGAGCAGGCTGTGCCTGAGGGCGAGCTCGCAGGCGCTGCTGAGCTGGCAGGTGCTGCTGAGCTGGCAGGTGCTGCTGAGCTGGCAGGTGCTGCTGAGACCGAATCTGGGAGCAGCAGCAGGGGCGGCAGTGGGAAGGGGGGGCGGATGAGCAGTGTGGCATGGGAGGTGGTGGGCGCATGGGACCGCCTGCTGTGGGACGACGACCCGAGCAACGTTGCTGTCGCACCATGTGCTGCCGCTGCACCCACCTGTGCCGCGCCCAGCAATGCTGCAGCGCGGTTGGTCGCTCAGAGCGATGCGGTTGCATGGGAGGGAGAGGAGGAGGGGGGAGTGGGGAACAGCGCCAAGGGTGCAATGGGAAGTGCAGAGGAGGAGGGTGCAGAAGAGGGTGCGCTCATCCTTCACCCCGCCGTCGCCCTCACCTCATCCCTGTCTCTCCCCTCCCCATCCACTCCTCCCACTCCCCTCCCTCTCCGCCTCGCCCTCACCCCCACCACCTCACCTCTCTCCATCTCCCCCGCCTCCCCCCTCCCTCTGCAGCGCCTCTCCCCCTCCCCATCCCTCCCCCTGCCCCTCTCCCCCGACCCCCTAGCAGCAGCGGTGCTGCAGCTGTGCTCGCTGTGGTCGCACCTGCACACAGACCTCCGAGAGCGATCACGCACCTTCCACCGCCTCTCCCTCTCCCTCTCCCTCTCCCCCGCCGGTGCCGCCGGTCCCGCTGCTGCCGCCGCGAACCACGCTCTCACCAGCGGCACCGCTCTGCACCGCACGCACAGCTGCATGGACGCCTGGTCTCCAGAGGCAGTGTTGGTGGAGGTGGAGAGATTGCAGAGACAGTGTGAGGCTGCGGAGAGGAGAGGTAGAGGGGGGAGGGGAGACGGGTGTGGGGAGGCAATGGGGGTGGCTTTGGATGGGGAGGTGCATCTGGAGGAAGCTGCCAGGAAGGAGCATGAGCAGCGGGCGGCGGTGATGCGGGCGGTGCGTGCGGCGATGGGGCGTGGGGAGAGGCTGAAGCTGTACGACCAATGGGGGGTTGACAGGTGGCAGCAGAGCCGGCTGCACACGATAGTGTTTCAGCGGCTTTGGAATGAGCCCATGCGGTGCGTGGCTTGACCTGCTTTCATGGGATGAGTGCATGTGATGGTGACATGTGATGGTGACATGTGATGGTGGCATGTGATGGTGACATGTGATGGTGACATGTGATGGTGACATGTGATGGTGACATGTGATGGTGGCATGTGATGGTGACATGCAATGATGCTAGTGTTGCATTGATATGCACGTGGATTGAGCTTCTTTCGATCACCTTAGAACAGTCAGAAAAATAGTCATTGCGTCCTTCACCCTCCCTCTCCCGGCCCTCTTCCTCCCCCTTGCTGCTGCTCTTCTCCCCCCTCTCACAATCCCCTTTCCCCCTTGCCCCACTCCCTACTCTCCCCTGCATGCATGCCCCAGTTGTGCGGAGAGTGCAGCACTGGTCGCCAAGTTCCTGCCCTGACCTGACATCATATGACTTGACATCACATCGCATTCCTGCTTCCCAAGTAGTCCACAGGGCTTGTGACTAGGGGGTCTAGTCCCTGTGCTAGGTATTCGAATTCAAAAGAGTAAGCTCGCTGTAGATAAGGGAAAATAAGGGAAACAGAATGGTGTGATTAAGGTAGGTAGTTAGGTTCTAGGCAAAAAATCCCCGATGCAAGTTGAACCAGCTGATGGAACATGGAGGCATGCAATCATTGGCCTCCAACTCGCAGCTATGTTACGGTAAAGACACCAGTGAGCCAACATGCTATGCTACAGCTACAAGCTAGCCTAGACCCGGTTTGTGGCACAAGCAGTGCATCGACCACAACTATTATCATGCGTAGGTGGTGCATGTTATTACCTTGCCCACTGAAGCAGCTACAGTGGCAGCAGCAGCTGCGGCGGAGGCAGCGACAGCAGCAGCAGCAGGCAACGTACGGTACGGTATCAGAATGGTGGTTAGACAAAGCATAGCAAAGATAGCAGATGAAGGCGGTTGTTAGAAGAAGCATCCTGAAAGGCTGGCACCCATGCTTGTCTGCGCAAGGCACGACAGCTGGGGTGGGGTCCCTGCAGGTTGAGACGGCTCCGAATCGCAGTGGTGGTGGGTGCACTCCACCTGCACCTCGCGCCCCTCCCTTGGAGCCACTGTTGAGCCGCCTTGAACAATAGCAGGGCACCAGCACCCCAAGCACATAATCCTCGTTGCAACGTGTGAGACATCTCAAGCCGTCCGCTGCACGTTTCGAAACCAAGGCTAGAGCCCGTCTCTAGGAACGTCAGGCACGGGGCTGTATCTCCTCTGCACGTACTCCTGCCCTTGCATCTCCACTGCCACCTGCCCCATGCCCACTCCTCCTCCCACGACATCCCCTGCTTCCACCATTCCCTCCACTCCCTCCCCCACCCCGTCCCCCTCTCCTGTAACTCTATGCTTCCCCTTCCGCCCCTCCCCTTTCTCCCTCAGCTTCCCACTATGCGACTTCTTCTTCCTCCCTTTCCGCCCACTCCCCCCACCCTCCCGCCCTGACCCATCTCTCGACCCGGACCGAGCAACACCCGCACCAGACGGCATCACGCCACCCGCCTCCACGATTTGATCTGCCATGTGCCCGCCCTCATCTTCCCTCAATTTAGTCACCTCCACTAAATCATACTCCCTCTGCGCAGGCGACTTCCCCCCACGCTGCGCAGGAGACCTACCCCCAGAAGACCCTCTAGACCCAGGCCTAGACCCTTTACTGTGGCGCCGCGCAGGGGGGATGGCAGCGGAGAGCTCGGGCTGTTGGGGATCGAGGGGGGCGGCGGGGGGCTGGGGGGCGGCGGGGTCGGGGATTTCGGCGCGGAAGTGGTTGCGGGAGGGCGGGATGGGCGAGCACAGCGCCTCGTACACGTTGCGCACGATGCCGCGGTTGTTGGGGTTCGCCTTCTTGTCGTACCGGTACCGGAAGTTCTCATATGTCGTCTGTGGGACAGAGAGGGCAGCAGGGGGAAAGGTGCACAAAGAGAGGGTTGGTTAATGCAAAAAACCGTGTACATATGAGGGAAAGAAGGGGCACAAGGTTGTTGTTGGCTTTCTTGTCGTAGCGGTACCGCAAGTTCTCGTATGTCGTCTGTGGGGCATGCCAGGTGTGCGGGGGCGGGGGAGGGGAAAGCAGACAGAGATAGAGTGGGGGTTGGTGCAACGAGCATGCACATCTGAAGGAAAACAAAACTGAAAAAAATCGGTTTTAAGTTTCAATTTCCTGGTTTTGGGATTCAGGTGGGACGGGGAGCAAGAGAGACATACCTGGTTGAACCAGGTAGAGGTGGAAGGCAGAGAGGCCCCCCACGAACCCCATGAGCACGGCTGCCATGGGCGCCTGCCCCAGCGCCTGCCCGTTATGGGGAGTCTCACTTTAGTGAAGTCTCACGAGTTGCCCCAACGCACCTGGTTGGTGCTCATGAGGTAGAGGTGGAAGGCGGACAGTCCCCCCACGAACCAGACGGCGAGGAAGGTGTAGGCCATGAGCACGGCTGCCATGGGCGCCTGCCCCAGCGCCTGCCACACCGTGCGTGTCTCACCTCCCGGCTCGTATGCATTGTCCATCAACACCTGGCGGAGGCGCGGGCAGAAATGGGTGGGTGCGAGGTTGAGGGCGGGGGAGAGGCCAGATGCGGGTAGATGATCGTACTGGGTTGGTGGAGCGGCAGCAAAAGCCAAGACAGCGAGTGCTGGGCAGCAGGAGGGGTGGCATGTGCAGCAGGAGGGGCGGCAGAGAGGGGTACCTTGATGAGGTAGGCGGAGAGTGAGAAGACGTAGATGCAGAGCGCCGTGGTGGAGCACACAAAGAGGAAGAAGAAACGGTAGTTGCGCTGCAGGGTGGGGAGGTGATTGGAGGGGGGGGAGCGGGAGGAAGTTTTTAATAGAGGACTTTTGAGTCGACTCAAAGGCAGAGGGCCGTGGTGGAGCACACAAAGAGGAAGAAGAAGCGGTAGTTGCGCTGCAGGGTGGGGAGGTGATTGGAGGGGGGGGGGGCGGGAGGAATTTTTTAATAGAGGACTTTTGAGCCGACTCAAAGGCAGAGCGCTGTGGTGGAGCACACGAAAAGAAAGAAGAAGCGGTAGTTGCGCTGCCGGGTGGGGGGAGGTGGGTGGGGTGGGGGGAGGGGAGGACGGGGAGGACGTTTTCAATAAGGGACTTTTAAGCCGACTCGAAGGCAGAACCAGGACTAACGCATTACGCGACCTATCAAGTGCCTCGTGCCTCGTGCCAACTCCCTTCCTCCCATGCCTCTGCACTAGCGTGGCTTTCCCCCTCTCCTTCCCTCGCTCCCTGCCCCTGCACGTGAGAACCAAGACTGTCTAGTTATGCGCCCTATGAAGTGTCTGATGCCAAGTCCCTCTCTCCCCTGCCTCTGCACTGGCGTGGCTTCCTCCCCCTCCGTCCCCTTCTCCCTGCCCCTGCACGTGCCTATTCCCTCCTCCCCCTCCCCCTGCCTGTGCACCGTGTGCCTAAACCCCTCCCCCTTCCCCCCGCACCTTGCCAATGCACTGGCCCACCCACGGGCAGTGGTGGTCGAATCTCTCCACGCAGTTGTTGCAGATGCTGCAGTGCGAACACCGCGGCGGGCTGCGCGCACAGGGGGAACGGGTGGCGGGGGACGCGGGGAGCACGGGTGGGGGAGGAGGGAAGAAGGGAGAAGATTCGTGAGAAGATGGAGTTAGCGCAAGCCAGGGAACCAGCGGGGAAGGATGGGGGGAAGGAAGGTGCGGTTCCATTGATACGTATCTGGTTAGAGAAGGCTATCAGGATGCGGAGAGCACGCACAGTGCACTCACCGGTACAACATGCAGGTGTCGCAGTATTTGACCTTCACCGTCTTGCCCTTGATCACCACGTCCTTCGTCCGCGGAAGCCGCCGGCCCCCTGACGGCCGCGGCGCCTCCACGTCACCGTCGGGCTCGGGCGGCTGCGTGTTGCGCGGGACTATCCCCGGGTCGCGGCTGGAGGTGAATAAGAGCACGCATAGATCCTGCGCGCTCGGCGGGGGGGAGAGGGGGCAGGGGATGGGGGACGGGAGAGAGGGGAATGGTGAGGAGGGTTGGCGGAGGGTGGATGCGGAAGGAGGAGTTGAAGGGAATGTGTGCGACAGGGGGAGGTGTGAGATGGGGAGGGAAAGTGGGATGGGAGGGAGGGAAAGTGGGATGGGATGGGGAGGTCAACGGGGGATGGGAGCGGAAGATGAGAGGAGGGGGATTGAAGAGGGGACTATGGAGGATGGTAGAGTAGATAGGGGATGGGGAGATAGGAACGGTGGAGGTGGTACGAAGGTGGTAACCAGGACGGTGATAACCAGACAGCCTGAATAGTCGGAAGTAGGTGGAGCAACGAGGAGACGAGGATTTGGGATTGGAAGAAGCATCAGTAAGCAGCACAGCATCGAGCGTAGGAGATACAGAGAGCCTAATATTGATTCAGCTTCGAGAGTAATGAGATAAGGACGCCTCAGTGATGATACGATGGAGGTGGCTACGAGTCATTCGCTACTCACCCACACTACGAGGCATATTCCGACTATTAGTATCGCGATGCCACCCGGGACTTTATTGATGAACTGAGCGCCAACGAATATGCAGAATAGCGTCCCCGGTATGGATATAAGGGCGATGGATATGAAGAGCGACCGCACGTCCGGACCGAATATGCAGCGACCCCAGCAGAAGAAATTCTGCAAGGGTAAGGAGGCAGATCGGGTGTACGAGCACGAATGGTTGGAGTTGTTTCAGCGGCAGGAGAAAGCCGTAGCAAGTGCCGCAGATACTGACGAGAGAATACGGTAGACCTAAGGCATCACAAAGAATCTATTAGGAAGACTTACGTTACTGCCTTTCCAAGCCTGATACACCTTCGTCATTGCAAGAATCTATTGACCGTCATTCCTAGCGTTATGAAGCACGAATGGATTCTAAGAAGCGCGGGCCGATTCGTCACCCTATGCTAACTATCAGGAACGCGTCGACGGTGACTAGTTAGCGGTCACACACGGCAATTCAATGAAGCCACGCGGAAAGATAGAGGGGAGCTCGAGCGAAAGAACGGAATAGGACGTGCTAAGGGTGGCAGGCTAGTTGGCTGTTCAGGTCAGGAGAGCTGCATACGAAGCAAGAGCGCAACGACGAGCAATTGGAATTCAGGATTCAGCAGCTAGGAGGAAGCAGGAGCAAACTGAAAGGACAGTTTCAGGCTTCCGCGCTTGCGGGGAGGAGTTGGTATTGGCGGAAAGGCGGGAAGGGATGGGGACGGTGGGTACGCGTGGAGAGTGCCGTGCGAACGAGGTTCGAGCAACCAACCAACCACTGGTCCCCTCGGTTCCTCCGCGATTTGCTTGTCGCCCTGTGGTACAGTCGATGCCCAACCAGTGCACGCAGGGGATTGCTAGTGAAAGGTGTGCCCTGTAGTTCGCAACGCGGGGCCCGTTCAACTTGGCGTGCGAAGAAAAGGTCGTTGGGGATTGCTAGTGAAAGCTTTCGCACACCCGCCAATTTCAACCCAGTTGCGGCTGGCGGCAGGCATGACCTACCTGGACCAGGGCTATTGCTAGGATTTTTGCTAGCTCGGACGATCCGGGCCCCTGTGAAAAAGACCCTGTAAAATCCGAGCCAGCGGGAAAAAAACCTTGACGAATCCGGGTTCGAGCCAGAAAAGGCCTGAAAACATGCATTACCAGAATTTCGCGGGAAACTCACAGTGGGTTGCGCGAGGGCTGGGGAGATTGGAGATGGAGTGGCTCTGGAGGGGTGAGCGAGATACTTTTTGTAGACTTAGAAAAAAATACGATGAGGAAGAGTACATCGGGAGAACAGGGCAATCAGACACTCTCTCCTTATTGGCCTTCTAAGCCATGTCGACGTAGAACGGGGCAATCAGACACATGGAGGCCAACAAGGAGAGAGTGGTTAGGAAATTCACTAAAATTGGCCCAACGTGTGTTTAGAGGGAGACCGAGAGGAATGCAAGGCAGGTCGGGGAGAACATGTCTGCTAAAATTATACGGGTCCCCTTGAGAACTCCCCGGAGAGATCCGAGCTGACTCAAAAATCACCCTTCAGTTTTACGGGCTGGTCCGGAAAAAACCTTGTGAAAATCAGGGCTCTTGGAAAAAACACCCTATAATTTCAGTCAAAACAGGGTAATTGCCCTGATAACTTAGGCCCTGACCTGGACCCGAGGAGGCGCGCTGGAAAAGCGACTCTGACGGACTTCCAGATCGCAAACACCCGCCAAACTGACGTGAACGGTAACAGAGGAGACAGCGGAGAACATATACGCGATATATGCACCTGGCCCGTGACCAGAGCAACAGGTGCTGACACAGCGCCTAGAAATCTTGAGAAACAAGGGACACTGTACATGCATCTACCAAACTCTTGCTGCCTAACAAAAGGAAGATCAGAATTTGCGTCCTAACCCATGCTTAAATATAGGAGGCCTGCCTTCACCGAGGGCTAACATAGTTCCTCCTTAGTGCAGGCCTCACAGAGGGAAGAGGTATGTTGAACAAATTGAAATAACTACTGTAAGATTGCGGCTTGGGACCAATCAACTGCTTCGGGCAGCTTCTGAAGTTTGGAAACCGCTTCAACACTTCCGAGTTGCTCCTCAGGCTGTAATCCCCATTCTCAGGGTCCCTGAACCCTGCTTTGTCGATACTCGTGGCGAAATACCTCATGCGGTTGAGAGCAGGCACTGAGGGGAATGGCGTGCAGTTGGGCATGTAAATGACGTATTTTGGAGCGCCTGATGGGGTAGCAGAGACGAGCTCTGCGTAGTTTTCAGTGGGCAGACCGCTGCAGCCTGAGGTGACTGCACGGTTGTGAGCAGCATCTGTGCCATTGTTGCAGTCAATGCCATTGATGCGGTTCTTCCCACAGAAGCTGGTCAGATACGGATAATTCTGCACAAAACACACAGAGCAAAGGGAGTGGGGACATGTCATTATCAACCCAAAACTACTGCAGATGAGAGGGGGTGAGAGAGATGAGGGGTTGCAAGGGGCGCAGGACACATGTAATTTTCAATGCAATGCCGAATAGGAAAACTAAGACAGGCGGGTGGTGAGTGCAGGCAAGGCGCACCCATCGGATCTCAGGCGTTTGGAAGTAGGTTTTGAGGAGGCGGTTCCAGTTGGGGCCGGCGTAGTTGTCGCAGTTGTTGAGGTGGTTGTTCTGGCACGAGATGTACCCCACTGAGAACTGCGTCGTGTTGATCATCACCATGCCCAGTATCATGTTGCTGCACGTGGCGGGGAGATGCACAAGTGTGGGTGTAGTGCACATGATGGAGAAACATGAAACGATGTTAGAAGTCAAGAGAAGCCAGTTTTAGAGCAAAGATTTTCCAGGCAAGAAGCAGGAGAACAGCAAGAAAAGTGGTGATTTTCTAGGAAGCCCGGTGAAAGCGCCGAGCATGTGCATTTGGATGTGCGACTCACTTCTTCCCAGAGTTTAGCTTGAGCCCATCGGCCGTCTGGTCGCACACAAGCCCGTCCGCAATGACTCCACTGGACACCCAGTCGATGTACAGACAGTGCCCGCCGCGGTACACATAGTTGCACCGCAGGTAGTTCCCGGGGTTCACCCAGTGCGTGTCAAAGTAAATCCCGCTGTTGTCCAGCCGCGTGTTTGCCCCCGTCTCGCCAAAGTCATGCCGAATCTCATTGTAAGCCACTTTCGTGAGCATGGCATCTCCCACGTTGTTCATGCCGTGGCCCATCTGGATCCCGGCGAGGGTGAAGTCGTGCAGGCGGTTATTCATCACGTTCACCCCCACGCCGCCCCACAGAATCATGATTCCCACGCGCGCCCGCTGCGCCTGCTGCCGCCCCTGGCCTCCGGAAAACAGCTCGTTGTTTGTGATCCACACGTTGGACCGCTGCAGCGTGGGGCCATGCCCAGAGTACGACACACGGATGGCTGCCGGCCAGTTGGCAGGATTCACGGTGACCCGCATGTTGTCGATTCGGGAATAAGCCGCACGCATGATGTCAATGCGTCCGAACACGGTGCCCTGTGTGACTTGCACAGCGAAGACGCGGAAGAGGAAGATGGCGGGGCAGGAGTAGCGCCTGATGTAGACATCTCGCACCTGGTTGATGTCGGAGACAGAACAGATGGTGGTGTCAGAGTCCTTCACAAGGATGACTTTCAAGAATTCTCAGAGGGCGGGGATGGTGGGGAAAGCTTTCTTTGAGCCGACTAAAAACAGGGCGGGGCAGGAGTAGCGGGTGGTATAAACACAACGCACCTGGTCGATGTTGGGGAAGGAGCAGATGGTGGGGTCGGCATCGGTGATGGGGATGTTGAAGTTGATGCCGTTCACGAGTATGTTGTGCGTGTTGAACAGCTCCAACACTGGCGTGCTGCGCACGCGAGGGAGGAGAGGGGATAGGTGGGGCAGAGATGGCAGGTAAGTACGGAGAGCATAAGAGAGTGAGGTGATGTTGATGCTGTGAACCAGCACGTTGTGCGTGTTGAACAGCTCCAACACTGGCGTACTGTATTGGGTGGGAGGAAGGTGGATGGCGGGGTGAAGATGGCAGGAAAGGACGTGAGCATCAGCGAGTGAGGGACATGTCAAGCGGGTTAGCTGACTTAGCAACACACCGTGGACACTTGGCAACGCCAGGGCGTGTGCACAATGCTAGTACATGCCACGGCATGCCACGAATACTACTCACACGCTGTTAGACACGGCCACTCACGCGGTGTTACGCAGGGAGATGGTGAGCTGGCCGGGACGCGTGGCATTGAAGATGGTGCAGGAGAAGTTGGCTCCGAACACGAGTCCACGTGTCAGGCGTATGTTGCTCCACAGCAGCATGGTGACGAGCGTGTCGTTTGGGAGCGTGGCGCGGCGCAGAATGTCGCGCTCAAACCCCACGTTGATGACGATCGGCGGGTTTGGCACCTTGCACGGCCGCCCGCACGCGTTCGCGGACACTTGCAGCGGACCTGCGCGGAGGGGACGGGGGAGCGGAAAGAACGTGTTGGGATTAGGGGAGCTTTGGTTGGTGGGAGGGGGTGGCTGACGTGGCCGCGCATGTATTGCCGGGATGAGGACGGCAGCGGCGAAAGCAATGGCGAAGGCAGTGGCGAAAGGGGAGTGGAGGAGAGACCCGAGGGCCTTCCCCGAGGGGAGTGATGCAGCCAGCCGCCAGCAGCAGCACCAAGGCCGTGCGGTCATACCAGGGAAGTTAGCAGCGGACGGGTCGTCCGGCATGTAATCCATGGTGCGCGCCGTCGCCCCGTCGCTGCGTGAAGCGTGGAGGTCGGCGCTGATGTCGCCGCCGCCGTCGCCGTCGCCAGAGCTGGTCGCCGAGGCATCACGGAGAGCGACGGCTGGGAGCAGCAGGCATGATGCGACCACCACGGCAGCCAGTAAGGCACGAAACATGCTTGGTCGCAGCATGTCGACACGCCAACTAATTGGAATTGCTACGACACGAGACGTTCGAGTCAGAGTGACGCCGGGCATGATGCTCGCGTTGGCTGTCAGCCAGCACAAGACTGCGACGGTAAATCCCTCGTCGCTACTCGTGCCTACGCGATCAGCGGAATTCCTCAAGGAATAAGATTGATGTCCTCGCAAGGTACCCGAAATTCAGAACTCAAGCCAGTCGGAGCGGCTATCATGTTTCGTGGAGCAAATGCTAGCAACGACTCGCTCAACACCATCCTACCAAGTGCTCTGACTCCAGGATCCCCAACGCGACGGCTGCGGCGGTTGTCTTCAGAGAGTACCGTGTCGGGACCTCGAGAAGGTGACATGGCGACGTACTGGTTGGGGCGAGCAATGGAGCTTCGGCTGAAAGCGCAGGTGAAGACTGGTGAAGTGCAGCACGAATGAACGCACGAGCAACTTCAAGGTCACGACTCACTATGGTGTATCAAATGGAGGGGATGAAGTGTAATACTCGCTATACAGGTACTTCGCTTGTACTCTAACGAGTGCTTCTGCTTTCCTTCAGCATGTAAATCTGGAAATGCTGGAGCTTGACATTGATTGGCTGAGCATTCCAGCCTGATGATGCAAGAAGGAAGCCGCACACGCAGCATCGCGGCTCAGGTTGAACTGCCTCCTGTTTTGAGTGGGCTTGAAGTTGCCGACGACAGAAAAGTGCACTTCTCTGACCACGATGTCAGCACGACGAATCCTACGTGGACCAGGCCCCGATGACGACAGGATGCTCGCAGAAATGAGCCAACGTGCCCAGCACTGGGTGGTTCGCGTAAAGAATTTGGTGGAAATTCCTCCACGTGGCCGGACCAAGCTCCAGAATCCAAGGCGGCTCCATAATTCCGCTTCGTGTCCTCTTCTCCGCCACTCTTATCACGCCTTTCTCATTGCTACCGCGCGCCCTACTGGATTTGCCGCGGTCGCGCGGATGGTGGTGAGGGCGTGCAGAAGTGTAGCACCCGCACCTCCGTCAGCTCCGCGCGTCCACCAATTGTCAGTCAGTCCCTCCCCGCACCGTTCCCCATTCCGCCTCCCCCTTTCTGCCTTTTCCCCACTGGTCGGGCCCGCGTCAATCCCTAGCACCTCGACATTCCCGTCGTGGGACCAACCAGCTGCCATCATCGTGCATCCCATATTTACATGAAACCTGTTCGGTCCAATTAATTTATCTAAATCGCTGGTCGCAACTCCTCCACCTAGTCTAGAAAGTTCCTCACCAGTAATCCCTAAGGAATATTTATCGAGTTAACCCCATGGACGCCATCGTCGCCCACTCCCGAGTAAGCTTGAACAGCTCGTTTCTCTCCCGTGCAGACGTCTCTGATGCGTCTCTCTTGTCCCGTCAAATTGCCTCCGCGCGACCATCCCTGCCGCCATTGACTCTCCCGAAAAGACGCCTCTCTCTCCGAGCCTCGGCCGCCAGCAACGGCGCCGCGGTGTCGCCGAACGGTACCGCCCGCCCTCACAATGCCGCCTCGTTTTCACAGAACGGCGTCGCTTCACCAGGACGCCTCGAGGGCCCTGCCACTATCCTGTGAGCCTTCTCCCGTAATTCCTGCCACTGCCCTCATCGCCCGTTCAAGACCACGAACATAAATCCCAGCGTTAGCAGAGTGAAGATCCTGGCCGTTCATCTGACGATTTTCGTGTTCGTGCAGATGGGGAGATGGTCCCATGCCGCTAGTCGAGCCAGAAGCGGCGGAGACAGACAGGGAAGCGCCGAACAGACCGTTGTCGCCGAGATCGCCGGCGCGCAGTGAAGTGCCCGGCGTGCGACGCGTAGAGGAGGCGATCGCCGCCATTCGACGAGGAGAGGTGAGCGCGCCTGGTGTGGCTGGGGGAGAGGGTTCGGGCAGCTAACGGCTGGATCGTGGAAGGGGGCGCGAATGCCGCGTGGTTCGCAGTAAGCCGTGGAAGCCGAAAGCGTTAGCTGCATGATAGAGCCTCTGTTCAACCAGTGTCGTGTTCCTGTGCTCTCCTTTGCTCGTGAGGAATTGCGCTCACGTTATTTGATTTCCGCGATTGATCGATGTCATAATCATTTCGTTCGGTGACAATCCTCGCGGCGTCGCAGATTGTGGTGGTGGTGGACGAACACGCGCGGGGAGTCGCGGATCTCATCATGCCCGCGTCGCTCGCGACGGCGGAGCGCATGGCCTTCATGGTGCGCCACGGCAGCGGCATCGTCTCCGCCGCCGCGTCCCCCGCCGTGCTCGACCGCCTCGCCATCCCGCCCATGCTGGCGGGTGCCGAAGGCGGCGCGAACAACGGCTCCGCGTCTTCCGTATCTGTGGTGAGTCGACAACGTCCGTCACACTAGCGGTCTCGGGATAGTGAGTGGGCATGCGAACAGCAACACGACCTGCTCTCCCTCTTAACGATTTCTGGATCTGCTCAAACAAGTCCATTCCTCCCTCCCCGCCCATTCCCCCTTAGCCCTCCCTCCATTCTCTCACTGATTCCGCGCGCCTTTCTCCTTCCGCTCCCGCTCTCGCTTTCTTTTCCCTTCCCCCGCGCAGGACGTGGCGGTGGGCACCACAACGGGCATCTCCGCGGCGGACAGGGCGCGCACGCTCAGGGCCCTCGCGGACCCGCGCTCGCTGCCCGCGGACTTCTGCCGCCCGGGCCACGTCTTTCCGCTGCGCGCGCACCCAGGTGGAGTGCTGCGCCAAGCCACCCGCGTGGAGGCGGCGGCGGACATGGCGGTGCTGGCGGGGCTGCCGCCCGTGACAGCTGTCACCGAGCTGCTCAATGATGACGGCTCGCTGCCCGATGCCGCCCAGACGCAGCAGTTCGCCACCCAGAATGCGCTCACGCTGATCTCCATTCAGGATATTGTTAGGTGAGAGCGCTCACTTGCACTGCCAAGCCATGTCTTCCCACGTGCATTGCCATGCCTCCCACATGTCCTGCCAACCCCGGCCTACTCTCATGCGTCGCCAGTCCACCACTCTCATGTCCTGTCAATGCCCATCCACCACTCCCTCCAATAGTCCTCGCGCAAGTCCTCATGCTCACCCTCCCCTTGCTCCGCCACCCCACCCCTCCTTCCCACAGGCACCGGCGGCTGGTGGAGCGCACAGTGCGGCGCACAGCGTTGGCGCGGCTGCCCACGGAGTGGGGCACGTTTGACATTGTCAGCTACATCAGCGATGTGGATGGCATCGAGCATGTCGCCATGGTCAAGGTGAATTGCTTGTTCCCATTGCTGCGCCTTCTCCCCCACCCCACCTCGCCCCTTCTGCCCACGGAGTGGGGCACGTTTGACATTGTCAGCTATATCAGCGATGTGGATGGCATCGAGCATGTTGCCATGGTCAAGGTATGCTTTTCATCCACCACGTATGCTCCATTCTCTGTGACCAGGTTGTTGGGTGACTCTGGCTGACTGGCATAACTAAACCTGCATCTCCGCTCTTCTATCTTTTCTCCCTCCCATCCCACAGGGCGACATATCATCAGGTGAGGACGTGATGGTGCGAGTGCACAGCGAGTGCCTCACGGGCGACATCTTTGCCTCCGCCCGCTGCGACTGCGGCCCCCAGCTGCAGCAAGCTCTGCGCCGCATCGAGGCCAAGGGCCGCGGCGTGTGCATCTACCTGCGCGGACAGGAGGGCCGGGGGATCGGGCTAGGCCACAAGCTGCAAGCGTATAACCTGCAGGACATGGGGCGGGACACAGTGCAGGCGAATCTGGACCTAGGCATGCCGGCTGATGCTAGGGAGTATAGTGCAGCGGCGCATATTCTGAGGGACCTGGGCGTGCGATCGCTGCAGCTTATGACGAATAACCCCGCGAAGCTGACGGCGATCAGTGAACTAGGGTTTGCTGTCACGGGACGTGTGCCGGTGCTGTGCCCCATCAATATGGTGAGTTGCCCTTTGTACCCATAGCTCCTGTATGGTCCTTCCCTCTCCTGTGCACCATCACGTTTTTTGTTCTCAGCCTTTGCCCTGCCCTCCTCCCTTTACCTTCATGGTTTCTTCCCCTGGCGGCACCCATGCTCACCTCACCTCTCGTGTTAATGACATTCCACACTCACCGGGCCTCCATGATATCTCTGTGTCTCTTTGGTGTGGCAGGAGAACCGGAGATATCTGGAGACAAAGCGTGCCAAGATGGGCCACCTGTACGATGCCACGTTGGCACAGCCCATCAGTGGCGCGTGGGAGGCACGGGGGGAGGATGCAGAGGAGGCGGAAGATGTGGAGAGAAGAGTGTAGCTGGCCTAAGCGGGATGGTTTAGCAGTTTTAGGTGTAGATCAAGCTGCTCTCTTCATTGTTATGCTCCTGTTCGTTCAGGAAGCCTGTGATTGTGAATATGCTTGCCATTCATGCATTGTTGAAAGTGCAATTGATTAGCCAGCTCACGAGAATGTCACCACCACCATTTATCAGGCGATATCTGGGTGAAAGCAAGGGGTTGATGACTTGCAGTCAGGTAAGAAGCTTTCTACTCTGAGAAATTCTGATGGCACATTTATACGGAACTACTGTACCAACAACTCCAAACATCTTTGGCACAAAGTTGCAATTTTGGTACCTTTCTCTATGCTGCTGTACACAATCAACTTCTCTGTCTGCTTGTGACAGCTATAGTGAAGTTACCAAAACAAGGTTCCTTGCCAACTACTAAGTTGGACCATCCTAACAATACCGTATTTATGTGATTTGCTTCCCCTCTCCAACGAGTACCGTAACGTGCAGTACAATACAGAGCATGCAGCTGGTCATTACACATGTAACATGTTGCTGTCAGCCTACACCACACCCAGATCTAGCGGCTGCTACAGCTCACAGCAAAAGAACGGGTCAGACCAGTAAACCAGTCCTCCCTCTCTTCACCATCTCATTCCTTCTCCCACCAATGCTGTCTCCCAGATGGCATGCTAGCTTGACTGCCACGCCTACCCACTCCAGGCCACTTCATCCCACACCTTGGTTCGCATGGCAGTAAAACTTTACAGCATGCTACAATCTGGCCACTGGCAGCTGCAACATCACCCATGTCAAGCATCTGCCGGGGTGGTTATCCACCGCTGTTCCGATCTCCAATGCATACATGCGTCACCTCCACGCTACTCCCCACCCCCCCCCACCCACACCACTCATCCTGTCTCCCAAATCCATCCTCTCCACTGCACCCTTCCCCAAACCCTTTTCATCCCTACACACCCCTGAGCCAACACACCCGCACCCCTCACCCCACCTTCCCCATCCTCCCCTCCTTCACCCCACTGCCCCCTCACGAGCGGCTTGGCTTCTCATGATCCTCCAGAGCAGACAGCCTCTGTCAGCATGGAGTGCCCTGGCGCTCCTCTAACCCCACTGCCCTCTCATGAGTGAATCGGCTTCCCATGTGCAGCCAGAGCAGCCTCCTTGACAGCCTCCGTGAGCGTGGGATGAGCATGGCACGTGCGAGCCAGATCCAGCGTGGTCGCACCATGCTCCATGGCCAAAACACACTCCATGATCAGCTCTCCCGCGCTCGGCCCCAGTATATGCGCCCCTAGCACCAGATCCGTCTCCTTATCCGCTAGAATCTTCACAAACCCCTCCACCTCTCCCATCGCCCGCGCCCGGCTGTTCGCTTTAAAGGGGAATTTACCCACGGTATACTCCATCCCCGTCGCCTGCAGCTCCTCTTCTGTCATACCCAGCATCGCCACTTCCGGGTGCGTGTAGATAATCCCGGGCACCGTCGCATAATTCACCTGCCCGTGCCCGTTCATAATATTCTCCACGCACGCAATGGCATCCTCCTCTGCCTTATGCGCGAGCATGGGACCCGGAATCACATCTCCTATAGCATACACAGTAGGCCGAGTGCTCCTGAAGTGGCTGTCCACGAATATCCGTCCGTTCATGTCTCGTTTCACGCCCACCTCGTCTAACCCTAGCCCGTTCGTGCACGGCACGCGCCCTGCCGCCACCATAACCACGTCAGCATAAACCTCCCGCGTCTCGCCCTCCCCTTTCGCCGGCGCCACCTGCAGCACCACGCCTTCCCCCGACGCGTCCCCGCGCACCACCTTAGTCCCCAGGAGGAATTTCAGCCCTTGGGATTCGAGAATACGGTGATACGCCTGCCGGATCTCGTTATCCATGTACCCGCCAATGCCATCCGCGAATTCCAGTATAGTCACGTCCGCGCCCAGGCGACTCCATACGGACCCCATTTCCAGTCCAATCACCCCGCCGCCCACCACCAGCATCTTTTCCGGAACCTTCTCAAGGCACATCGCGCCGGTTGAAGATACGATTTTTTTCTCGTCGATCGGGACCCCGGGCACCTGCCGAATGTCTGATCCCGTGGCGATGATGATATTCTTCGCCGAGAGGACTTTTTTCGCCTGCCCGACCTGCCCGTGCGCGTCTAGCAGGCTCACGGTGACCTCGTGCGTGCCTGTGATGCGCCCCGCGCCCTTGACGTAGTTAACGCGGTGCTGCTCGAACATGCGCTCCACGCCCGAGGTGAGGGATTCTATGGCGTCCGCTTTTAACGCCATCATCGCCGCTAGATCCACCGACACGCCGTCCACCCGCACGCCGTGCTGCGCTAAAGAGTGCTTCGCTTCGTAGAACTTGCGCGAGGACTCCAGCAGGGACTGGCGGGAGGGAAGGGGGGGAAGGGGGGGCCAAGGGGGGGGAAGGGGGTTTGAGGGCCGGGTGTGGGGGCATCAGGGAAGCTGGGGCGAGGGGGTTGTTGGGGGAGCGGAAGAGTGCCGTTTGGTTCTTGTGGGTTCCGTTGCGGTTTTTTCTGACAGATTTTTTACGTGCGTGGGTTGAATCACGTGTGAGTACTCACGTGCTCTACGTTAATATCCAGTACTAGTCAACGTTGTCCGCCTCAAAACCCCGCAACCTCATCACAGCACAAACAACCAACACCGAGTCACACCTTAGAGGGGATGCATCCGACGTTGAAGCACGTGCCTCCGAGCCGCCCGCGCTTCTCAACGCACGTCACCTTCAGCCCCACTTGCGCCGCGCGGATCGCCGCCGCGTACCCGCCGGGTCCGCCGCCAATGATTACCACGTCATTCTCCTCGCGACCGCCGCCATCGCCGCCGCGATCCGACGAATACCACCGCTGCGCGCCGAACCAGGAAGATCCGGCTAGATTCGCCGCGATTTGCGGCGGTTGTGGATGGCAGGAGGCGGAGATGCTATCGACAAGGCTGGGAGGAGACGAAACCCTAAAAATTGTGTCGACGAGCGGCAACCCTCGCCTGCGTGCTGCTCTGCAGGCTAAACGCGAATACATGGCGCGCAGCCAGCGTGTCGGGAATGCTGGCGGGCCTGGGATAAGGGGAGAGAGAAGGTGTCGCTGTTGCGAGAAAGCTCTGAAACGCTTCACTTAAGAGGAGATCTGGCGAGAGAACACACCCCGCGCTGTGCTAGGCCGCTCGAAGACGACATCAGTGGATCAGGCATAAAGTGGCGGAAAGACAAGAAGCGTTCAAGGAATAGAAAGCTAAGGTAGAAATGTATCAGGCGACTGGACTGCGTGCGGTGGAGGCGGCCTTGGGATTGTCGATAGGAGGGAGATTCGACATGACAGAGGAGGGACGCCGAAATGACGCGGACGAGGGGAGGATGGAGGGCCATGTCACGCTGATGCGGTCGCGAGGAAGATTGACAGGGACCACCCCTCCACGTAGATACAGTATCACCCGAGATATTATCTCGATAGAAGAGGTGTGCAGGACTGAATCGTACACTAATGGTATTATTTCTTACACTAATGGTAAGAACCGTGTATCACTCTGCTCAGAGTGATTAGGGCTCAAACTTTCTATCAGAAAATTCATCTCAAGCCTCCATTCTCCAATCGCACATGCCCATTGCCCCGCCTCCTTACTCAATTCCTAACCTTATTTTACCGGTACCTCAACTTTCCTCTCCATGCAACCCCACATCCTCACCATTGCTACTCTCAATCTCTCCATCTTCTCCCTCTGCAGCTTCCTTCTCAGCACCTCGTTGACTTATTTCAGTCTCTTCCTCTCTTTCCAACCTGTATCCTTGTCCTAATTCTTCCTCCCTTGCGCCATTCCCCATCGTACCACTCCCTCCCAAACCATCAGCCACCAACATTACAGGTGCAACAGAAACGTTTCGAGTGACTGTCGCAGGCACCCTAACTGTTTCGTGATTGGCCGGGGTGAAGCACGGGATACCCATCTGGTCGGCAATTTTGTCCCGTAGCTGCGCCATCTTGGCACGCTCGCCATGCACCAGGATGACGTGGCGCGGCGCCAGGTGGCGGATAAGATCAGTAATGCCCTTGGCATCGGTGTGTGGGGAGAAAGAGAGCACATGCACCTGCCAGAAAGAAGGGATTATTTTGGGGACAGGTTTAAAAATCTTGGGTGTGCTCCCGGTAATGCAAATGCTTGCTATGCACATCCCAGTTTTCTATTGATGGGATGGGATACTACATGTCCAATGCTGCTACTGCAGCATAGCCCTGGACTCATGGCAAGCCTAAATCTCCTGACAACACACCTGACAGTTGACCGCCACTTGCGTGCACTGGTCGATGGCTACCCTCCCTCCGCCTCCTGCTCCCCCTTCCCCATCCCTCCCACCCCCACCCCCACCGCCAGCAGCAGCGGCATTGGCGGAGGCCATGGCCATAATCTTGCCGCCCACCGTGCCGGCCATGCAGAACCTGGGCGGGAGAGGGTGACCCATGGACGGCAGGAGGGAGGGAGAGAGGAGCAAGAGGGTGAGAAGAGTTGAGAAAGTGAAATGGGCATGCAGAAGGGGAGAAAAGGCAGCACAAGGGAGAAAAGGAGGAGCGAAGAAGGTCAGATGTTTCCACTTCTGCAACGGCAGACAAATCCTACAAATCCCCTTCCCCCCCGCAAGTATAGAGCATAGGCAGACTGGTGGAAGTGCAGTGCCCCCACTGGGAAGCCTTCCAGCAAAGATAGCACCGTGAGAGCACACAGGACGCGCCTTCTGTGGCGGCGGTAGGTTTGAGTCGGCTCGAAACTACCCCAGTGCGCCAAGAACAGATATCTGTGGGAGGTAGTACAAGCACCCACCCTGGCAGCACGAGCAGGTTGCGGGGATGGGGAGCCCATGCCTTGAATGCCTGCAAGGAGAGAACCCCTGAGAGCATCCCTTGTGGGCTTGTGTCACTTGTGAGCATTCACCAAAGCACCACACACATTTTTACATGACACGCCAGCCATGAACACCCACTCACCCGGGCAGCACGAGCAGGTTGCGGGGGTGGGGCGCCCAGGCCTTGAAGGCTTGAAGGGAGAGACCCCCTGAGAGCATGCCTGGCGTTGCGAACAAAACCATGGGCGATGGCGCGTCCAGGAGCGCTCGGTCGAATGGCCGCACTGGAAGCAGAGAGGGGCGTGAGAGAGTGAGATAGGTAACGGGAGGAGGGGAGGGAGGCGCAGGGGGCACGTGGCGTTTTGGACGTTGAAAGCGTCAGTACGCACAATGCTCTTCTTCCCGTGCTGGATTGGCGCGTGCAGGGGGGTTACTGCTATGTGCAGCTGGTAGCGGCACGCAATGGCAACACTGGCAGGTGTGCCATGGCAGCAGGAGTGGTGTGTCATGGCATGGCGTGGCATGGCATGGCATGGCATGGCATGGCGTGGCATGGTACGGTATGGCATGGCATGTTGGCATGTACCATGGCGGAAGTCAAAGATGTTGCGGTTGGCGTGGGCTGACTGGATGTGCTGATTGGTCCACGTCAGCAGAGTCTTGTAGAACACCGTGGCCTGGGAGGTGAGGCCTGGAAGGAGGGGAGAGGGAGTGCGGAGAGGGAGGGAGTGAGAAGGAAAAGGAAAAGTGCAGGCAAGGCGCCGCAGGCCCCCTCGTACGCCCCGCATGCCCCGTCGCGTGGCCCTGCAGGCCACGTTTTGCGCCCCTACAGCCCTGCAGACCCCTACAGCCCTGCAGGCCACGTTTTGCGCCCCTACAGCCCTGCAGACCCCTACAGCCCTGCAGGCCACGTTTTGCGCCCCTACAGCCCTGCAGACCCCTACAGCCCTGCAGGCCACGTTTTGCGCCCCTACAGCCCTGCAGACCCCTACAGCCCTGCAGGCCACGTTTTGCGCCCCTACAGCCCTGCAGGCCCGCGTGGACCAAGGCGCGCTCGTGGACCAAGGCGCGCTCGTGGACCAAGGCGCGCTCGCCTCATGGCAAACACCGGAATCAGCGCCTTGCCCTCCTCACCACCCTTTCCCCTCCAACCCAAGGCGGAAGTTGTGTGTACACACCTGCACTCAAGTAAATAGGCACATCAAGCCCCATCCGGTGCCAGTACTCGTCCAGCAACACACACAGCTCCTGTGCGCGCCCCATGGCAAACACGGGAATCAGCACCTTGCCCCCCGCTGCCATGCATGCATGCACGCGCGAGAGGAACTCCGCTTCTCTGCTGCGCCGGGACTCGCGGATGGTGGTGGCGTAGGTAGACCTGGGTGTGGGGAGAAAGGTGGGGTTGGAGGAGAGAGTGGAGAAGGAGGAGGGATGAGCACCTCGCCCTCTGCTGCCACAGATGTGTGCATGCGCAATAGGAAGTCCGCCTCTCGGCTGCGACGGGTGGACTTGGGTGGGGGTTGGAGCGGGAGAAGAGGGGAGAGAGAAGAGGAGGAAGAGGAGGGGAGGAGCGGGAAGAGCGGAGGGGCAGGAGGAAAGGAGGAGGCTAGGAAGGGGGCAGAGGAGAGGAATTGGTGGGGAATGGGAGTAGCTTTCTCGTCCCAATGAGAGAGTTGGGCATTGATGAGTCAATGATGACACTCGCATGGCATGGCAACATACGGCATGGCAAGCAGAGGAACACAGGCTTGGCGTGGGAACCACCGTGACATGGCATCATGGCGGCATGGCAGTGAGGTGCTCACTCGGAGATCATGAGGTCGGGTCGAAGGCGCGGATCCACCCGTGCTGCTCCCAGGTGCCTGTCAGGTGCCATGTTGAAATCACCTGAGGGGTGCCATGTTTAAACCACCTGAGGGCCGCTATGTTAAAATCACCTGAGATGGCTATGCTCAAATCACCTGAGAAGAAAAAGCAATGAATTATTCGCAAGGTATGAGCCATACAGCAGGATGCCATGACAATGCCATCCATGATCTCACCTGTGTAGAGAACAGACGCCCCGTTGCTCGCTTGCACGTGAAACATAGCTGCTCCTAGCACCTGGAGGCATACACGGGAGAGGAGGGGCGTGTGGCGGAAGGATAGTGTGTGCCGTGCCACGGGGCATCAAGGGGACCAACAGCACACCACATGCTGCAACCACAGTTCCAGTCATCATTGCACTGCATGCATCCATGCATCCATGCACCCATGCATCCATGCACCCATGCATCCATGCATCCATGCATCCATGCATCCATGCATCCATGCACGCGGCACTACATGCCATTCCACGCCACCCGTCATGCACCATGCCATGGCATAGCCACGGTTGTACTGACATGGCCGGCATAGTAGGGAGTGATGGTGATGTGCTCGTTGACTTGAATGGACTGATGGGTATCCACCGGCATGCGAAGACTTATGAGCGAACCATGTCATGTCATGCCATGCCATGCCATGCCATGCATGAGTGCACTGACATGGCCGGCATAGTAGGGGGTGATGGTGATGTGCTCGTTGACCTGAATGCTCTGATGGATGTCCACCGGGATCGCTGCACAGATTGCACGGGGGAACACGGGGGAGCACAGGAGGAAAAACATCATCAATCCCAAGGGGAAATGCGAGGAGAGACTTTTGAGCGAGGGGATGGGATGGTGCCATGGTTGATGCCTGGTGGGGGATTAACCCCCTCACTTTCCCCCGCCCACTCTTCCTCCCCCTCTCACACCTCCCTCTCCCCGCCCTCACCTCGCCCCACGGCCGCAGTGATATCAGCGCTGGAGAACAGCCCCTCCTCGCCTTCGCCCCTGCTCCCTAACTCCCTTAATGCACCCACACCTGCCCACACTTCAGCGTCCCCCCAAACCCTCCCCTCACCCTGCTCCCGCTCACCTCGCCCCACGGCGGCACTGATATCAGCACTGGAGAACAGCCCCTCCTCGCCCTCGCCCCTGCGCTCCTCCTTTCTTCATGCACCCGCACCTGCCCCTCACTCTTCCCCTCCCCTCCCCTGCTTCCTTCCCTCTCCCCCCTCTCACCTCGCCCCACGGCCGCAGTAATATCAGCACTGGAGAAGAGCCCCTCCTCACCCTCGCCCCTCCTCTCCACCGCCACGCGCCGATAGTCCTCCAGCATCAGAGGAGCGAGCGCCTTGGTGGGGTACTGGGGAGAGGAGAGGGAGGAGGGGAGGGAGGGAAACGTTAACGAGAGTGTTGGTCGATAAAGAGAAGCAGTCTCACATTCGATTCAATATGACACCCGGAATTGGCTTGGGGACAGGAAGAGAGGAGCATGAACGATACCGCTCACAGCCCACATCTCACAATGCCAGTTGGAAGCATTTGCAATGGGCGTTAGGTTGTTAGAATAACACGATTGCAATGAGAAGAGCAGAGGGTGAGAGCACCCACAGTCATGTAGACGGGGCCCTGGTAGCCGCAGACTTGCGTGAAGTAGGGCAGTGCGCCACTGTGGTCCAGATGACTGGTTGCATAGGGGGCAATGGAGAAAGTGGGGCGGGGATTGGTGTGGTGCGGGGCAGTTGTGGGCCTCATAGAAATTCTTACAAGTGGCTTGAGTAGAGGAGTGCATGGGTGCATGGGAGAGGAGGGTAAGCAAGGCGGACGGAAGGGAAGTGTGAGGCGTGGGTGTTGCTGCACGAAGGATGAATTCTGCTGGCAGGGATGAATGGGTGAATGGAAGTCGCTAGAAGATCATAGAAGCATGGGAAAGGGCAAGCAAGAAAGGGTAAGGCAGGGAAGGAGAGGGAAGGGAGGAGCGCACAAGTACGTGATGATGACGCAGTCAATGATGCCTGTGTAGTCCACGTGCTCGCCTTCATGCCTCTGCCCCCGCTGCTGCTGCCCCTGGCTGAAGGCATGCTTTTGAGTCGACTCCAGCGGAGGGACTCACAAGTGGGTGATGATGACGCAGTCAATGATACCCGTGTAGTCCACCACATGCTCTTCTCCATGCCTCTGCCCCTGAGACTGCTGCCCGTGGCTGAAGGCGCGCAGGCGGGGGAAGGCGGGGAAGCGGCGGCTGTCCTGGTACCCCATGTGCATGCCACAGTCGAACATGACCACTCTGCCTCCCACCCGCACCACCACACAGCTCTTTCCCACATCCTGCCCCGCTCCTGGTGGCACAATGTGGAGGCACACGCACACGCAACACAAGGGGGAATGGCACCAGGAAGAATGGTGCTGCAGCAGTGGCTGAGGGGAGGAGTAGGCAAAGCAGAGAAAAACGGCTGTGGTGGAGAGGTGAGAAGAGTGCAAAGGGAAAGTGAAGGCTGGCTTGCTGCGGCCACTGGGGGACTGACCGAGAGGAAGGCACGTGATCTCTGCCTTGTCCTCCCCACCGCCACTAGTGGTACCACCACCACCAGCAGCCCCGCCAGCAGCAAAACTGCTGCTCCTCCCTCCGCCCCCTCCCTTTCCTCGACCTCCGCCTCTCCTTCCGCCTCCCGCCCAGCCCCGGCCACCATGCTCCCACCTGCCACCTCTCCCCTTTCCCTCCACGCCCTCCCCTCTCCATCCTTCTTCTCTACCCCAACCTCCCCCTCTTCCCCCAACTCCTTCACTCCTCCCCCACGCACCTCCCCCCAGGCCGCTCCCCCATTCTGCCCCTCCCCCAACCCCCGCCCCCTCCCCTGCTTCACCCCCCACCCCCCTTCCCCATTCGCCTCTTCCGCCACCTCGTCCGCCCTCCGCCTCCCCCGCGCCTCTCGCCCATTCGCCCCCTCCCTTGCGCTTCTTCCTGCCATGCCGCCCCATGCCGTCGCAGCGCTGCCACGTGTCGCCCTAGTATGCGCCCCCCATTGCAACCCCCGACATAAGCACACGGATTTCCTATTCCGCCTCGCGCGTTTGAATCCCGAATGCGACTGGCGCCAAATTCGCCCCTCCTCCTCCCCCCTCCGCCCCCCGGCCCCTCGTCGCGCCGACCCCCCTTCTTGCGCGGACGTTCTGCGCTTATGGTCGATGGGCGGAAAGAGCGATCAAGGGGGAAAACCAGCGATGGCGCGCGGAAACTATATAGCGGGCGCAGAGTTTGGCGGAGTGGATGGTTGCGAAGCGCGGAGGAATTGCGGGTGATGGATTCGACCTCAGTGTGGGTGACACGAATGTGGGGCGCAAAAGAAGAGCAGTTATGCAAAAACAACGCGAATGTGGAAACAGGAAAACCGCCGAACGGCAAGAAGCTACGCCGATTGTGGGGATCGAACCCACGGCCACGTGGTTAAAAGCCACGCGCTCTACCACTGAGCTAAATCGGCTATTCACGCAATTTGACAAAAACATTTCAACAATTAACACAAACCTCATTTTCTGTCGCCACTGATTTCTTCCAGCTCCATCGTATGCCAACACGTGTGGTATTCTCACGGCAGTTCAGCCATGCAACGATCGACGCGCTTCGCCCCTGCGCGACTCGCGAGTCCTCGTCTCCTCCGCCCGACAATGGCCGCTAGAGCCCCTTCCTCGCGCCCCGCTCCCCCTCACGGCCACCATCGACCGTACCACTCGCTTTCTTCGCTCTCCTCTCGTGCCTCGCCCACTCCACCACCAACGTCGCCGTGCTCCTCTTGTTTCTCGGCTGCGTGCTCTTCTCCGTTGCTCCAGCTCTTCGCGAATTTCTCGAATTCTCGCCTCCTTCGCGTCATTGTCTCGAATTCGCCCCTCGTTCCCCTGAACCCGCTCTCGCCCCGCCGTGAATAACGGCCGTGAAACGCATTGCATCGAGACCTATGGCGCTGCTATCGGCCCCTCTCACCGCTACTCGCGGCTGCATGCTGTCTGTGGCGCAGCCACTCCCCGCCCCCCGTGCGCGCACCACCCCCGCATGCGCGCTCCCCTGTTCCGCGCGCCCCCTTCCCGTGAGCCGCGCAACACGGCGTTCGTACGCGTTGACAACCTCCCCGTTAGCGGCGCGCCTGAGGGGATGGCGGCGTGCTTCCGCTTCTGATGACAACAGTGCCAAAGATACAGCTGACGTGGCACGCAGTGAGGATTACACGCCTCAAGCTGACGTGGATGATGTTTCTGATGACGTGGCGGAGGCATCAGCGGCAGCGGCTGAGCTGGCAGCTGAGATGGCGGGCGAGGCTGCGGCTCAGGCTGCCAGCGTGTATGCCGCCACGACTTCTGCTGAGGGGATGGAGGGGGAGGAGGAAGTGGGAAGTGAGGAGCGGAAAGGGGAGGGCAGTAAGGGGGCGGTCTCAGCTTCATTGGCCGCTGGGGAGCCTGCTGCTGGCGGTGCTCCCTCTGATGTCGAAAAGGAGAGCCAGCAGCAGCAGGAGCAGCAGCAGCTGCCGCCACCTAGTCGTCCTCTGCCACGTCAGCAGCTGGCCTCCAGCGTGCCAGCTGTAACAGGCCTGCGGCGCACGGTGTGGGGGCAGGAGGGCGTGGCGCCACAGTACCCCCCGTTACAGGAACACGTGACTGTGGACGTGGCGGTGGTGGGGGCCGGCATCAACGGGCTCAGCGTGGCGTACGCTCTGCTGGATAAACACCGCAAGGCCAAGGGCGCGGGAGGAGGAGGAGGCAAGGACCTGTCAGTGGTGGTACTAGAAGCACGTGCCATTGGTCAGTGGCTCTTGACCCTCTATCACACACGTGCACTGCACCGCATGCGTATGATTGTTGCCTTGTGTGAATGATTGTAAGTACGCTCTGCACGTTACCTTCCGTCACCTGCTCGAGCGGCAGGTGCGTGCAACCCAGCCTGCCTGATGCTGTGGCTCTATTGAGGTTGATTTTGAACATTTCTCAAGATCTGCCTGATGCTGCGCCTTCTGACCCGTTGACCCATTGACTTGCTTCTATGCATGTTCAGGCCAGACTGGTCGCACCACAGTGCACCTCATGCTGTGGAACGACGACTACTACAGCGTGCTCGAGCGGCTGATGCCGTTGCCTGCTTGACACGAGTCCGACACGTTTTCCTCCTCCCTTTCACCTGCAGGTTCGGGCCAGACCGGTCGCACCACGGCACACCTGATGCCGTGGAACGACGACTACTACAGCGTGCTCGAGCGGCTCTTCGGGCGGCGGCGGGCGGCACTGGTGGGCAGGAGCCACGTGGCGGCCATTGATTGGGTGGAGCGCGTGGTGCGGGAGCACGGGATCGAGTGCGAGTTTGAGCGCGTGGACGGGTACCTCTTCCCCCATGACAACTCCGATGAGGCGAATCGCAAGATGCTGGAGGTGGGTGGGTGGGCAGGGCACATGGCTACATGCGGTTGATGAGTGTGGTTGGCTGGCCTGTCAGCACATCAGCCTCATGGCCCAGGGAAAAAAAAAAAAAAAGAAAAAAAAAAATTCAAAAACACCAGCCCCATCACCTCCTGCCATGATCTTCTTTCTCCAATTCCCCTAACTCCCTAACTCCCCTAACTCCCTAACTCCTCCTGTCACCAGGAGCTGGCGGCGTGTGGGCGCATCGGCCTGGCGGACACGTCGCTGGTGGACCTGCAAGGCGATCCCGCCCTCGGCTCGCTCTCCTCCGCCCTGCGCTTCCCCAACGCTGCTGACTTGCACCCCCTCAAGTGAGTGAGGCGCGCTTCAAGTGAGTGAGGCGCCAGCAGTTTTAGCGCTCCCAAGTTAACGCAACAACCGCGGAAAGATCCCATGCAAGTATTGCTGCTGTCTGCCTCCTGTTGCCACGCAACGGCGTCGGCTCCATATGAGAAATCTCATAACGCATTTCTTAACTCATGTGTGCCCTGCCCACCTACTCCGCCCCCACGCCTTATGCAGGTACCTGCAGGGGCTGGCGAAGGCAGTGACAGACATGGGAAGGAGGATCCATGAGAACACGCGGGTGATTCGCAACTCATCACTCTCCACCACTCTCGTGCACGCATGTGTGCCACTCCCATGCTATATGCAGGTACATACAGGGGTTAGCGAGCGCAGTTACAGCAATGGGAGGAAAGATCCACGAGAACACGCGGGTGATTCGCAACTCCTCGCTCTCCACCACTCTCGAGCTCAACACGGGCGTGCGCGTGACAGCTGGCAGCGTCGTATTGGCCACCAACTCGCCCATCAATCACAACCTGGCGGTGCACTCGAGGCAGAGCGCCTACAGGACCTACGTTGTGGGGCTGGCTGTGCCCAAAGGGAGTGTGCGGTGAGTGAGTGGTTGAAAGGTGTGGAGTGCGGTGCTAGCAGGTCACCACTTGGCAGAGCGCGCATGGGACGTATTGGCCAGCAACTCGCCCATCAACCACAACCTGGCGGTGCATGCCAGGCAGAGCGCGTACCGGACATACGTTGTGGGGCTGGCTGTTCCTAAAGGCAGCGTGCGGTGAGTGGTTGGGAGGTGTGCAATGCGGTGCTGATGGTCCATGCTAGTAGGTCATCGTTGTGATGGGTTTGGCTTGCCGAGCCCCAGGGCAGTGAGTGGTGAAGGTGTGGAGTGTGCTGGGCTGAGGTGAGGTGCGGTGATGGTGGGTGGTGGTGGGTAATGGTGGTGTGCCGGTTGTGCCCAGTAGTGGGACGTGGCATCTCCCTGCAACGATGTGCGCATCACCTAACAGCACGCTTACACTCCCCTCCCTCTTCCCTTCCCTCCTCCCCCACCAGCCGCGCCCAGTGGTGGGACACGGCCTCGCCCTACCACTACATGCGCATCGCTTCCGGCCCGAGCGAAGCAGAGACAGACACGCTGATACTGGGGATGAGGACCACCCTTTCCTTTTTCCGCCTCATCCCCCCCTGCCATGCCCCCACCAGCCGCGCCCAGTGGTGGGACACAGCGTCCCCCTACCACTACGTGCGCATCGCTACCAACATCCTTCCTCTCTCCCTCTCCCCTCCCTCTATCCACCTCCTCTCCTCCCCCACTTCCCCTCCCTCTAACCCACCAGCCGCGCTCAGTGGTGGGACACGGCCTCCCCCTACCACTACGTGCGCATCGCTCCGAGCCCGAGCGAATCAGAGACAGACACGCTCATAGTGGGAGGGGAGGACCACCCCACGGGGGTGCTGGCGCCTAGGGAGTACCCGCAGGCGTATGCACGCCTAGAGAAGTGGGCGCGGGAGAGGTGGACGAGCGCAGGAAAAGTCGTTTTCAGGTGGACGGGGCAGGTGAGACTTCTAGAAGTGCCCCTGCTCCAGGCCCTGGGGGAAGGGGCGGAGACAGACACGCTCATAGTGGGGGGCGAGGACCACCCCACGGGGGTGCTGTCTCCTAGGGAGTATCCGCAGGCATATGCACGGCTGGAGAAGTGGGCCAGGGCGAGGTGGACAGGCGCTGGACGAGTGGTCTTTAAGTGGACTGGCCAGGTGAGTGCTGGTTGGGTGGGTGGGTTCTGGATGATTGAGGGTTGGGCAGGTAGCTGCTTGCGCTTAAGGAGTATCCACAGGCATATGCACGGCTGGAGAAGTGGGTCAGGGAGGGGTGGCTTGATGTTGTCTTCAAGTGGATTGGCCAGGTGGGTTCAGGGCAGGTGCTTTCTGAACAAGTGAATTTTGCGCAGTTAATAGCTGGGCTCTGGGATGCATCCGCGAGTGCAAGGCCGCCTGGAGGCATGGGCGAGAGAGGGTGGGAGGAGTGCAGATGACGCTGTGTTGATGCGGCCTAATCACTTGGGCGTAACTTTGCTTCTCCTTCCCCGCCCTCTGCACGCAGGTGTACGAGCCAGTGGACCTCCTTGGGCTGTACAGCAAGAGCCCTCTTTCTCCCTTCATTGCCCTGCCCCATTATCTCGCCCCATTCCACTGCATGCCTCCGCACCGCTCTCAACCCCTCTGCACGCAGGTGTACGAGCCAGTGGACCTGCTGGGGCTGTACGGCAGGAATCCCCTCGTGAACCGGCCGACCAAAGTCGTCTACATTGTCACAGGTACAGTCCCAGTCCCAGAATCTAGACGCCCTCTGCACGGTCGCAGGTGCACGGTTAGGTGCGGTCAAAGCCTCTGGGGCTGGTTGGCCGGAACCCTTTTGTGAACCGGCCGTCCAAGGACGTTTGCATTGTCACAGGTACCGCCCCAGAATTTACATGCCATCTGCACGGTGGGTAGCTTTTGAGGGGCATCAAAAGTCCTCTCGTGAACCGCCCAACCAAGGATATCTATGTCATCAGAGGTACAGAGAGAGTGCGAGAATACAGCCACTTGTAACACATCCACCACCCTCACCAGCATGACTGGGTGAGATGATGACACTTGTTTGTCCCCTTACCTATCCCTTCCCACCTCCCTTCAGGCAACAGCGGGCAGGGCATGACGGGTGGCACCATATCCGGGCTCGTGGTATCAGATCTGATTCTGTCGGGGCGCAGCGAGTGGGAGCAGCTGTACGACCCGCGGCGCCTGCCACCGCTCTCCCAGGAGACAGCGCAGAGCATCACGAGCATCACAGCGCACACGGCTCAGGTGTGTGGAAGCACGCAGCGTCACCACAAGCATGCATGCATAGCACTCGGGTGTCGGGCCGCAGTGAGTGGGAGGAGCCGTACGACCCGCGCAGCCTGCCACCGCTCTCCCAGGAGACGGCTCAGAGCATCGCAAGCATCACTGCACACACTGCCCAGGTGTGCAGCAGTGCGTGTGAATCACACATCCTCACATCATCACACATCATAACATCAAACACCCTCACCAACTGCGTTCGCCCCCCAACAACGTTCTCCCCCCAACCACGTTCGCCCCCCAACCACGTTCGCCCCCCAACCACGTTCAACCCCCAACAACGTTCTTCATTTCAACCCCACCGGGGCTACGCCTTTGACCTGCCAATCGTGCCCGGAGTTTTTTTTTTGAGACGTCTCAAAATGAACCTTTCTACACCTGCCAATCGTGCCCGGAGATGAGCGGTCGGTGGACAAGGTGAAACCAGTGGAGGGCCTATCCACCTCCTGCAAACCCCTCGTTCCCCTCCTTGCCGTCCCTCCCACCAGGGCTACGCCTTTGATCTGCCAGTCGTGCCGGGAGATGAGCGGTCGGTGGGCAAGAAGAGGGCTCACCTTCCATGCCACCATTCAATCGACCACCTTCGATTTCCATCCCTACTACATCCGTCCCACCAGGGCTACGCCTTTGACTTGCCAGTCGTGCCGGGAGGTGAGCGATCAGTGGACAAGGTGAAGCCGGGGGAGGGCTTATTTTCCACCATTCAATTCACCTTCCGCAAGCCCCGTCCCTTCGACATCCGTCCCACCAGGGCTATGCCTTCGATCTGCCAGTCGTGCCAGGAGATGAGCGCTCAGTGGACAAGGTGAAACCGGGGGAGGGTGCGCTGGTGGCGGTGGGGCTGCACAAGCAGGCCGTGTACCGCACTGAAGCAGGCGAGCTGAAGCAGTACTCAGGTGAGCAGGAGTTTTGAGATGTCTTGGAAGGTGGAACGGGGGGAAAAGGGTGCGCTGGTGGCGGTGGGGCTGCACAAGCAGGCCGTGTACCGCACTGAGGGGGGCGAGCTGAAGCGATACTCAGGTGAACACGCGGGGTGGAACATATGTTGTATGTGGCTAGCATGTCCATGCACAAGCAGAATGATCTTGATCCAGACCAGAAAATGTTGGGCTCGCCGTCAGTGCAGCATGCGTTTTTTAGAGAAGCTGACACATACGGTACACTCACTGAAACATGGCTCTTGCTTTGGGATGTTGCAGAGTGATGATGCTTCTGTTGACTCTTCATCCCACTCCTTGTCCCCCTCCCCTCCCACATCCCATCCCTTTGCCAGCTATCTGCCCGCACCTCAAGTGCGCGGTCAGGTGGAACCCCAACGACAAAACTTTTGACTGCCCGTGCCACGGGTCCCAGTTTGACACTTCAGGGAGGGTGATTCAGGGACCAGCCAAGGCCAACCTCTCCCCTGTATCACGTGATGGTTGCTGTGGGTGATGAGTGAAGATCCATTCGCCGTGGGTGAAGTACGGTGGAGAGAGATTGGTTGTGGTGGGAGAGGCTGAAAGGTTGAAGCTGTAGAGATGAAGTCCTGGTTGTTGATTGCACATGCTGTACATATGTAAGTAACATATCGTGTTAGTAAGACAGGTATTATAACAGATGTGGAGTAGGGTAAATCATGTTGTGTGAATGATATTGCCTTTTAAAAGTGTGGAAGACTATGAATAGCATGAGTATGACTTGCCTCTACCACACATGTAGCAGCAAAAAGAAAGATGCTCAAACACATTATTTGAGTATCACGCAATATATACAACAGTTTTAATCCTGTCGAGACGACAGGTGTACCACTTACACGCTGCCAGTTGTGTGCACAGTGGCTTAGCACTGTGATAGCAGGTGAGACTAGCTACCATACCACGTAACGATCTAGCCTGGTTGGGGAGTGGTAGTTGAAGGCTCTCACATGACTAAAGCCCCTTGGCGTCACTGAATCGCATTTTCTGAGTCCCAGTGCTCGTTCTACCGCCAGTACTGCGCCCATCTGTGGATGGTCTCCACCATGTGCGGCAACAAAGCAGACACCGACTCGTTGATGAGCTCCTGGATGAACTGCACTGCTGCCTCGTCATCCAGATCCAACCGGAACTTCTGCTGCAGCTGTTGGGTGGAGAAGACGAAGGGGAGGGAGAGAGGGAGAAGGAAGGGGGAGAAGCAGGTGGGAGGGGGGGGGGGGGAAACGATTGATGAGCTTCTGCATGAACTGAACTGCTGCCTCGTCGTCCTAATCGAGACGAAATTTCTGCTGCAGCTGTAAGGAGAGACGGACAAGGGGGGGCAGAAAAGCGAGAAAGTCTGAGCTCCTGGATGAACTGCACCGCCGCCTCCAAATCGAGACGGAACTTCTGCTGCAGCTCTCGGGGGGAATGGAATAGGAGAGGGGGCAACGGCAAGTGGGAGGGTGGGGGGGATGGGAGGGGAAGAGGGTGGACAGGTGGAGATGAGCTCCTGAATGAACTGCACTGCCGCCTCGTCATCCAGATCCAGTCGGAACTTCTGCTGCAACTGTGGGGAGTGGTGGAGAAGGAGACGGAGGCCAGTAAGAGGGGGTGAGAGGGAGGGGATGGTTGGGAGGGATGGAACAATTTCTGGGGCGCCTAAAAAGCAGTGCTTGGATGAACTGCACTGCCGCCTCATGCTATGACCATTACGACTCACCTTAATGAGCAGCTAGCTGGTCAGGGTCATGAGAGGCGATGCCAGGGATGCTGGTATGAGCCACGATGCACCAGACCACGCACACCCTGCATGCCTCCAGCCCATGCACTACAACCCATGCCTTGCAATCATAGCACACCTTGGTCAACAACTGGTCGGGGTCATGCGAGGCGATATCAGGGATGCTGGCATGCGCCATGAGGTGGAAGAGGTTGAGGAAGAGCCGACTGCTGGCTCGCAGGATGTTGAAGGCCTCACAGCAGTAGGAGCGGAAGCGCACGTACTCAGGACTGGCAGGGAAGGGGAGAGTGGAAGTTGGAAAGTGGGGTGGGTGGGTGGTAGCTGTCAGGATGTTGAAGGCCTCGCAGCAGTAGGAGCGGAAGCGCACGTACTCGGGACTGAAAGGAGGGAGCAAGGGAGGTTGGGCGGTGCGGGTGGGTGAGTGCAGAAGGGAGAAGGGTGGTAGCTGTGAGGATGCTGAAGGCCTCACAGCAGTACGGCTACAGGCTACAGGGTTGGGTGAGTGGAGCACGGGGGTTGGGTCAGGGATGGGAGGAAGGAGTAGAGGGGGTTGGTGAAGGCAGTGCCTCTAAAAGCACAGTTGACAGTACAGCGAACATGGTACTAGACTGCATAGTGAAATAAAAGCGGCATACTGGTGGCATCTTTTGTCCATGGCATCGAGTATCTCCTTGCAGAGCTTGCCCATGCAGCCCACACCCTCACCTGTACCCCTCAAACCACAGCATCCCTCTTGCGGCCCGCATGGCCTCCCTCTCTCTCACCTGCTCGCGCCCCCCATGGCATCCAGCATCTCCTTGCAGAGCGTACACATGTAACCCACATGCCCCCATCTGTACACCTCAGATCACACAGCATCCCTCTTGCGCCCCCTCACCTGCTTGCACCCCCCATGGCATCCAGCATCTCCTTGCAGAGCTTCATGGGCGGCGGGAAGGGCTTGGGGTCCCGGCCAAAGATGTACCCAAAGTCAATGTGGAAGAGACGACCATCCGTGCACAGCAGTAGATTGTCCAGATGCCTGGTGGGAAGGGAAGGGGAGTTGCGGCCAAGCGGGGGGAGTGGCAGAGACAGAGTAGCTGGAAAGAGGCAAAAGATGTACCCGAAGTCAATGTGGAAGAGACGCCCGTCCGTGCACAGCAGTAGGTTGTCCAGATGCCTGGTGGGAAGGGAAGGGGAGTTGCGGCCAAGCGGGGGGAGTGGCAGAGACAGAGTAGCTGGAAAGAGGCAAAAGATGTACCCGAAGTCAATGTGGAAGAGACGCCCGTCCGTGCACAGCAGTAGATTGTCCAAATGCCTGGTGGGAGGGGAGGGGGGAGGGAAAAGAGGGGGGGGAGAGGGGCGGGGCATTGAAAGAGTAATAGGCAACGCAGCTGAGCGTGCTAGCAACGCAGTGGCAATGGTTATGGTACTGGCAAAGGTAATGGAAATGGTAATGGTGATGATAGTGGTAATGGTAATGATAATAGTAATGATAATGGTAAGTAATGATAATGAAAATGGTGATGACAATAATCATGGTAATTATAGTGATAATGGTAATGGTAGTTGTAATGCTAATGGTAGTGGTAGTGGTAATGGTAATGGTAGTGGTAATGGTAATGGTAATGGTAACGGTAATGTTACTAGTAATGGAAATGACAGTGGTAATGGTAATGGTAATGATAATGATAATGGTAATCGCAATGGTAATGGCAATGGCAATGGTAATGGTAATGGCAGTGCGCAACGCAGCTAAGCGAGCGAGCAACGTAGCTGAGCATACGAGCAACGCAGCTGAGCATGCGAGCAACGCAGCTGAGCATGCGAGCAACGCAGCAGAGCGTGCTAGCAACGCAGCAGAGCGTGCTAGCAACGCAGCAGAGCGTGCTAGCAACGCAGCTGAGCATGCGAGCAGCACAGCAGAGCGTGCTAGCAACGCAGCAGAGCGTGCTAGCAACGCAGCTGAGCGTGCTAGCAACGCAGCAGAGCGTGCTAGCAACGCAGCAGAGCGTGCTAGCAACGCAGCAGAGCGTGCTAGCAACGCAGCAGAGCGTGCTAGCAACGCAGCTGAGCGTGCTAGCAACGCAGCAGAGCGTGCTAGCAACGCAGCAGAGCGTGCTAGCAACGCAGCAGAGCGTGCTAGCAACGCAGCAGAGCGTGCTAGCAACGCAGCAGAGCGTGCTAGCAACGCAGCAGAGCGTGCTAGCAACCCGGCAGAGCGTGCTAGCAACCCGGCAGAGCGCGCTAGCGACGCAGCAGAGCGCGCTAGCGACGCAGCAGAGCGTGCTAGCGACGCAGCAGAGCGTGCTAGCGACGCAGCAGAGCGTGCTAGCAACGCAGCAGAGCGTGCTAGCAACGCAGCAGAGCGTGCTAGCGACGCAGCGGAGCATGCTAGCAACCCAGCAGAGCGTGCTAGCAACCCAGCTGAGCGTGCTAGCAACGCAGCAGAGCGTGCTAGCGACGCAGCAGAGCGTGCTAGCAACGCAGCAGAGCGTGCTAGCGACGCAGCTGAGCGTGCTAGCGACGCAGCAGAGCGTGCTAGCGACGCAGCAGAGCGTGCTAGCGACGCAGCAGAGCGTGCTAGCGACGCAGCAGAGCGTGCTAGCGACGCAGCAGAGCGTGCTAGCGACGCAGCAGAGCGTGCTAGCGACGCAGCAGAGCGTGCTAGCGACGCAGCAGAGCGTGCTAGCAACGCAGCAGAGCGTGCTAGCGACGCAGCAGAGCGTGCTAGCGACGCAGCAGAGCGTGCTAGCAACGCAGCTGAGCGTGCTAGCAACGCAGCAGAGCGTGCTAGCGACGCAGCAGAGCGTGCTAGCGACGCAGCAGAGCGTGCTAGCGACGCAGCAGAGCGTGCTAGCGACGCAGCAGAGCGTGCTAGCGACGCAGCTGAGCGTGCTAGCGACGCAGCAGAGCGTGCTAGCGACGCAGCAGAGCGTGCTAGCGACGCAGCAGAGCGTGCTAGCGACGCAGCAGAGCGTGCTAGCGACGCAGCAGAGCGTGCTAGCGACGCAGCAGAGCGTGCTAGCGACGCAGCAGAGCGTGCTAGCGACGCAGCAGAGCGTGCTAGCGACGCAGCAGAGCGTGCTAGCGACGCAGCCGAGGGTGCTAGCGACGCAGCCGAGCGTGCTAGCGACGCAGCCGAGCGTGCTAGCGACGCAGCCGAGCGTGCTAGCGACGCAGCAGAGCGTGCTAGCGACGCAGCAGAGCGTGCTAGCGACGCAGCAGAGCGTGCTAGCGACGCAGCAGAGCGTGCTAGCGACGCAGCAGAGCGTGCTAGCGACGCAGCAGAGCGTGCTAGCGACGCAGCAGAGCGTGCTAGCGACGCAGCAGAGCGTGCTAGCGACGCAGCAGAGCGTGCTAGCGACGCAGCAGAGCGTGCTAGCGACGCAGCAGAGCGTGCTAGCGACGCAGCAGAGCGTGCTAGCGACGCAGCAGAGCGTGCTAGCGACGCAGCAGAGCGTGCTAGCGACGCAGCAGAGCGTGCTAGCGACGCAGCCGAGCTTGCTAGCGACCCAGCCGAGCTTGCTAGCAACGCAGCCGAGCGTGCTAGCAACGCAGCCGAGCGTGCTAGCAACGCAGCCGAGCGTGCTAGCAACGCAGCCGAGCGTGCTAGCAACGCAGCCGAGCGTGCTAGCAACGCAGCCGAGCGTGCTAGCGACGTGCAAGCGACCCAGCAGAGCGTGCTAGCAACGCAGCAGAGCGTGCTAGCGACGCAGCAGAGCGCGCTAGCAACGCAGCAGAGCGCGCTAGCAACGCAGCAGAGCGTGCTAGCG